CATATATTTATTTGAAGTTATCTTTTTTTCTATTTTCTTATTGCCTAAACCGGTAAACAAGCAGACGGATCACCTGATGGTAAGCAATCGGCGTCGTCCATGGACACCTGGAACACCAGAGGTGTTACAAGTGCGTTACCTACCTTTTGAGGATTAGGAGTTTGAGGATTGTTGGGGATTACGGATATTGAGGAAATGGGGGGGGGGGGGAGTTTGGGCCTCCGGTAACTTCACTCACACGACGAAACACAACGCAAGCGTTGCTTCACGTCGGTTTTCTGTGAGGCCGTGGTATCGGCGCGAGGCGGCCCATTCGTGCCGAAGCATGGCTCTCCCATACTATCTATGGAACTCTAGAAAATACTAAGAAAAGCTTTACCAGTTTCGAGCCACAGAGGGCTCTTTCTCGTGAGCAGCGTGCGCTGTCGCGGCGATGTCGCGCTGCCCACTAGCGAAACTAATAGAGCTTTTCTCAGTATTTTTACGCGAGTAACCCGCGATTTAGTTAATTTACTATGTCTTATGATAATTATTATTAATACCTACATTTTTAATACTTAAATTTTGTCATACTAAAATAAGCCTTATTACAAAGTCATAACGTTATATTTCAGTCAACAGACAAGCACCTGGCTATAGTATGCTCTCTGCTCGGCATATCTCGCGCGGAACTGTCGCGATGGCTCACGCATAGGAGAATCGCGTCTGCGCATGAGGTAATGTATTCTTTTATATGTTTTATCTTATATCTCACTTGTTCATTCTCTCACTCACTTACTCATTCACTTGCATTCACACACACTCACTAACTCATTCTTTCACTGTTTTTTTTTACTATCCATACAATATAACCACCAAGTGCCTACAAGTGGCTACTTGCTGACCAAAGGCCTCATCTCACACGGAGAAGGTATGAGTAATCACCACGCTTGCTCAATGCGAGTTGGCGATTTTAAACTTATGATTAGAAGTTATAATCCCAGGTTTAATCACGATGTTTTCCTTCACCATTTGTCAGCGGTGTCTTAACTCACTGAATAACTCATGCACTAATTTATTCATCCTATTTTCACACTTACAGCTTATTAGCTGTAAGTGTGAAACTATTGTATCACAAATAAATAGACTTACAATGAGCATCGTTTATCCTTCCTTACTCACTCACTCACTATCTCACCCACTCATCTCACTCACCCACTCTCACACACACACTCACTCTCTCACTCACACAATCACTCTCTCAGTCACACACTCACTTACTTATTCACTAAGCTCACTCATCGACTTAATCTCTAATCCCTAAATATCTGTGACCAGGTAATAGTATCCCGCATGGACGTGCAGCGCGCGTCGTTCGCCCGCGACGCGCTGGCCAAGCGCATGTACGGGGAGCTGTTCGCGTGGCTCGTGCACGCCGTCAACAGGGCGCTCGACACTGGACACGCTAAGAAACACTTTATTGGTAAGTTTTTGTAGTATTTTTCACTGGATTGGGTACTTGCTAACTAGTCAAATTCAATACTTTTATTTTGAACTCAAAAACGATAGTTTTTGAGTCTAGAGATTGTGTATTGTGACGTCACGTTTTTATAGCGTCAAACATCATAGTTATTTCTTAAAAAAATGCTGGAAAAATACTAAAATTAAGTTGGTCATAAAATCAATTAGTGAAAGTGTGATTATTTTTAAATAAAGAAAGTACCCAATTTACCTTTATGTAATGTGGTTTTGGTTTGATTCTTGAGTTTAACACAGTGATGTTGAATTTTGAAAGTGCGTATGTTACTCCTGCGCGGTCGCGCCCGCTCTACCCATCTCCTTTTGATAGGTATTGCAATCAAGTCACCACTTCACAGAAGTGTTATTTAAATCTCTATGTATTTATCCACAGGCGTTCTAGACATCTACGGGTTCGAAACGTTCGAGATAAATTCCTTCGAACAGTTTTGTATAAACTACGCGAATGAAAAGCTACAGCAACAGTTCAACTCACACGTGTTTAAGTTGGAACAGGATGAGTATATTAAGGTCAGTATTTATTAAGGGTCATCAATAAATTACGTTCTCCGGCCACCGTAAGCGCGGGCCTGCGGACGGCGAGCATGGGTGGCTCCCCGTCCGACCAGAAACAGACCCGAGCGTACGGCGCGTCGCGTTCCGCGCGCGCCTCAAAGAGCCATCAGACCACCACAGATGGGGCCCAATAGGGCCGATGCCGATTCGGAGTCGCGGAGAACCTAACGGGTAACCGGGGCTCCGGCTCGACGTGCAGGAGAAGGAACGGGGTGGTTTTTAGTCAGTAAGAGTCTGACACTCCCTCCCGCCTCACCCAGGCGGGGGCAGTCATTCGATGATTTTCCCCCCTTAAAAAAAAAAAAAAATTTTTTGTGTGATCCACAGATTGTTGTTCCGGGTCTGGGTGATATGTGGTTGTGATATAGCGATGATTGTAAACGCACCCATGACACAGGAGAAAATCATAGTATGGGGCAACATTTTTTTAAAAATGCTCTAAATTTAAATATAACATAACATAACATCACGCCTTTTATCCCCGAAGGGGTAGGCAGAGGTGCACACAGAAGTAACACCCACTTTTCACTATTTATGTTATGAGTCCCATGTAATAGGGGGTGTGCCATATACCGGGCACATTTCCAGACTCCGTGCTACTACTGAGATTTTTTTTAAAACCCAGTAATACTTTGCCCGACCCGGGAATCGAACCCGAGCCTCCTTGCCCGGCAGTCACACTCGCGACCACTCGGCCAACGAGGCAGTCGAGGTTTAAATATATTCAAGTATATTGCCTAACTGATCATTAATGATCTAGACCTTTAAGACCACTCCAGACTTTGCATAGACCTTCCAAATATCAATATAAATATTGTCCACTAAACGAAAAAAATCAGACTACAATGTAAATAAATAATTTCCCCTTCTGACCACAGGAAGAAATATCGTGGGAGATGATAGAATTCTACGACAACCAGCCGTGTATAGACCTCATAGAGGACAAGTTGGGAGTGCTCGCGTTACTGGACGAGCAGTGCAGGGTGCCGCAGGGGAGTGACCAAGGGTTTGTGGCCAAGCTACATCAAGCCTGCGCTGGGTATCATCACTTTATGAAGCCTCGGTTTGGAAATGCTGGTATGTATTTTATTTTACTTATTTTATCTTTATTGGCCCACCAACAATTGTATCCGTTAGTATATTAAACAACAAACATTTTCATTAAATAACAATAAACTGTTACAATAGTTTACAAGCGAGCACAGTATTTAAAAAAAACAATTAATTAATAAAGAAAAATTTGAATTAAAAATCGAATTAATTTATATTAATTTACATGAATAAATTAATTAAAGGAAAAGATAACACTGCTATAGGATATGAAAACTAAAATCAAATTTATATACATGAAAAATTGAAATTAATTAAAAATAAAAAAAAATAAATTACAACTTGAAAATTACTTTGAAATGTTCAAAGTTAGTTATTTGCGGAACTTGCCAAATGAGTCTGAAAGCACATCTAGATCCCTGCAACTGTTTACGAACTTCCACATTCGCGGAACAGCAGAATTTGCACCTAGCTCGGTAGGGGGAGGGGGGGTACAATGGACTCACGGGAGCTCGAGGATATTGGTTGGGTCGACGTTGGTCCACTATCTCGCCTCGTGGCAAGCAATGATGCGGTCTACGATAGAGCACGTCGTCCCATAAGCGACCTATTCACTCGGGCCTTGAAGACACCCAGGTTATATACCCTTCAGGAAATACAGACTCTGGCAAAGAATTCCACTCCTTAGCAGTACGCACAAGGAAGCTTGATGCGAAGCGCTTCGTGCGTGTGGGTGTCGAGCAAAGAAATTGTTGAACCAGAAATCCGAGCATCTTGCTTCGGCTATTGTCGAGTTTAGATAGATAGATTCATTTATTTGCCTGAAATATGGTAGTTTACAGATTTTATAACATAACAATAGTTCATCACTTTCCGCTTATAAATTCTGCATGCAAATATTTTAACAAAACTAAACCACAATTTCCAAAAATGATTCTAAGTTAGAACAAACAATCGAATCACAACCTGTGCTAATGATTCCAAATTAAAACAAGACAAATTGTGTTACAATATCCAATAAACACTCCGATTCTAAATAAAAAATTAAACTATACCTAATGTTAGTAAGTTAAGTTGGTTTATCAAGAACTAGCTTTTGCCCGCGGCTTCGCTCGCGTCACAAAAGGATAAAAGTAGCCTATTTGACATATACCAATACACACAGCACCATCTATACCAATTCTTTTGTTTTCCCTCGGGAATATCAAAATTTTCCGGGATAAAAAGTACCCGGACTTCAAACTTTACGCCTGCAAAAATTCAAAGCAATCGGTTAAGAAGTTACGGCGTGAAAGTGGAACAAACAAACAAACAAACAAACTCACTTTCCCATTTATAATAGTAAGGATTGGCAATTCTTCAATTGACAAATCTTGTCGCGTTGACACTTAACAACACATTAACGACACATTAGCATACATTTATTTATCTCCACTTGTAGTTTCAAATCTCCTATTTTGTATTTCAGCTTTCATCATAAAACATTTTGCCGATAACGTAGAATACCAATCAGGTGGGTTTCTTGAGAAGAATAGAGATACAGTTTCAGAAGAACAATTGGAATGTATTAAAACAGCGACCAGTTGTCGGCTCATACACACCATGTTTGCCGACCGGGGATGTGATCAACCGGTGTCGAACACACTACCCCCGCCGTCTAAGAGGAGGACTACACCCTCTGTGCCGCTGGGAAGTCTTACTGTGAGTATTTATGCGTTATATAGAAGTAATATGATTGACTGTGTCTTGGTGGCCCGGAGGTTTAAGACACCCACTTGTCATGCATGAGGGTGCGGGTTCGAAACCTACCAACGGCAAGTACCAATGTGACTTTTTCTGAGTTATATGTACTTTCTAAGATTATTCAGATACCACTGACAAATGGTGAAGGAAAAACATCGTGAGGAAACCTAGGCTTATAATTTCTAATTGTAAGTTTAAAATCGCCAACCTGCATTGAGCAAGCGTGGTGATTAATGTTCAAACTTTCTCCGTGTGAGAAGAGGCTTTGCTCAGCAGTGGGCATTTATAGGCTGTTGATGATGACATGAGTCAGTTTGCAGTATAGGAATTTTCTATACCGTAAGGTCGATAATCCAATGACATCACATTCACGCAGGTTTCGTGTTATCGTGCACGAATTATTTTAGGATGAGAACCAAAAATAATAGGGTGATTCCAGATTTGACAATTTCAGTGTTGCAACGTTATGACAAGTACTAAATAGTGACGTTACGAAATTATTCGATATGGAAATGCAATATTTCTGGATCGATTCCTCTCGTTTATAATTATACTCTCGTAAACTAAATATATCAGGAAATTAAATATTTCTGAACCGATAATTTAGTTTTGACGATTAATTAACGATCTGAGACTTTTCTTTTATAACTGTGTGTGAAATAAATAAAAAAAATGTAATCATGAAGGAACATGACAAATAAAATAGATAGATGTATTATGGTAATAAGTTATTTTATAAATTGTCACCGTCTTCGTTATCGCTATCGCTGTCACTTTCTGTAACATCAATACATAGTATAAAACAAAGTCGCTTTCGCTGTATGTCCGTATGTATGCTTAGATCTTTAAAACTACGCAACGGATTTAGATGCGGTTTTTTTTAATAGATAGAGTGATTCTTAAGGACGGTTTGTATGTATAATACATGCATATTGCACCCGTGCGAAGCCGGGGCGGGTCGCTAGTTTATTATAAAACACACCCTGATTGTTTATCGATTTTTGTGTTCATCACTACACTATTATATGTGGTATCATTATTTCACAAAATGACAGTAGCTATTGTCAAATCTGGAATCTAATTAAAATTCTGACTATAGTAAGCAAATTTACAGATAGATAGGTTATTGGAACTGGACGTTAATCGCCATTAAGAGTTTAATAGACGCCCACGATTGTGTTAGTGAAGATCATGTTATACTTAGTTCTATGTAGTACATGGAATCAAGTTTTTTAGGATAGCTTTTTCCAATCCAAGAGTTTAAATTAACAACACGAAATCTTGAATACTTAAACAATTTGTTATAATTGTCATTTTATAACAATAATTATAAAAACATTAGCTTCTGCCCACGACTTCGTACGCGCAATCCCATTTTCTCCCGTTCCCGTAGGATTTTCAGGATTTTTTCCTGTCATAAGAACCTTCTCCTGACAATAATAAACACAACAAAAAAAAAATCAGCCAAATCGGTCTAGCCGTTCTCAAGTTATGGCGTGACAACGGGAAACGGGTTTCATTTTTATATATGTACTAACGGACCCTACAGACGTTGCCCTGCATATCCACTTGAATGTATAAACAAAAATTCATTCAAATTAGTTCAGCTGTTTAGGATAAATAACGTAAACATCGACTGCAGTGCCATCTGCCGGGCTGATTTGTGAATCTAAACCATTCCCAGATTCCCTTGAGCACACACAAAAAAATCATCAAAATCGGTTCAGTCGTTTGAGAGAAGTTCAGTGACATACACACTTGCAGAAGAATTATATGTATAAAGATGGACTAGTAAAAGCCATATAATAACGTTATATACTTAACAGAACACACGATTTATTTCTAAATTTTCCCTATTTCTCCCACAGCAACCGCCCCGTCGTACCTCAGGCCAGAAGCAAACGGTAGGCTCCCAGTTCCGCGCGTCACTGTCAGCTCTAATGTCGACACTGTCGGCCACCACGCCTCATTACGTGCGGTGTATCAAACCCAACGATACCAAGGAGCCCTTCATGTTCGATAGCGCTAGGGCCGTTAACCAGCTCAGGTAAGAAGAAATATTCTGTGGTTTATGTCTAAGTTTTCTGACTTTTACAGAGGTATATTTTTGAGAATAGATATTTTTGCGCAACAAGATTAAGCTAGTTGTCTGGCAACTCGCTGCCGCGCAACGTGTCGCGGGTTCGATTCCCGCACGGAACAACTCTGTGTGATCCACAGATTGTTGTTCCGGGTCTGGGTGTAATGTGTATGTGAACTTGTATGTTTGTAAACGCACCCAGGACACAGGAGAAAATCCCAGAGTGGGGCAACGTTTCTTTAAAAAAACAAAAATAATAATAATAAAAAATCTAGACACTACTCACAAATGGTGAAGGAAAACATCGTGAGGAAACCTGGGCTTATAATTTCATATTATGTATAAGTTTGTTATCGCCAACCCGCATTGAGCAAGCGTGGTGATTAATGCTCAAACCTTCTCCGTGTGAGAAGAGGCTTTGCTCAGCAGTGGGTATTTATAGGCTGTTGTTGTTATTTATTTTATTAATTTACTTGCAGAGCTTGTGGTGTGTTGGAGACAATTAGAATATCAGCTGCCGGCTTCCCGTCTCGATGGTTGTATCAAGATTTCTTTGCGAGGTAACTTGTTTTTGTATATTGTATATAATTTCATTAATTGACTGCCGCGTTGGCCGAGTTGTCGTAAGTGCGACTGCCGGGCAAGCGATCTCGGGTTCGATTCCCGGGTCGAGCAAAGAATTACAAGATTTAAAAAAAAATCTCAGTTATTGCACGGAGTCTGGAATTGTACCCAGTATATAGCAGTTGTGGTATTAATTGCCGTAATGTGCACCTCTGCCTACCCCTGCGGGGATAATAGGCGATAATAAACAATTTTTGTTTTTCTCGTTTACTAGATACCGTCTCCTCTGCCTCCACCGCGAGATAGACCGCGGTAACATCAAGGCGACCTGCAGTAGGATACTGACTCGACACGTCAAGGACCCGGATAAATATCAGTTCGGAGCCACTAAGATATTCTTCAGAGCTGGACAGGTGAGTACCAAATCTGGACCTAAAATTTCTAGTTATAAGTCGTCATCAGTTGCCTCGTTGGCCGAGTGATCGTAGTCGTAGTAGCATGGACTCTGGAATTGTGCCCGGTATATGGCAATAGGCTCACCCCCTATTACATGGGACTCATAACATAAATAGTGAAAAGTGGGTGTTACATTGTACAGTGGCATAATGTGCACCTCTACCCCTACCCCTTCGGAGATAAAAGGCGTGATGTTATGTTATGTTAAGTCGTCGACAAAGTCGAAATCGCTAACCCGCTTGAGCAAGCGTGGTGATTAATTTATAAACCTTCTCCGTGCGAGAAGAGGCATTTGGTCAGCAGTGGACACTTGTAGGCTGATCAATGGTTATGATGATCATTAATTATGAATATAGTACCAATGTGACTTTAAAAGTAGTAGACCATTACTCTATATTAGTTGGCATGATAAAGGCGATGATTAATTTATTTTGTGGGATAGGAAACGAGCAGTTGTATCACCTGATGGTAAGCAATTGGACATCGATAATACTAGAGGCGTTACAAGTGCGTTACCGGTTTTTTGGGATTTAGTATTTGAGGATTGTTGGGTATTCAGGGATTGGTAATAGGGTAGATGACTAATTTTTATTTTAATGTCCGTCTGGTAGATTATTTAAAAACATTAGACACGTATTTTGTTTATGGAAACGAATAGTTTCTAAGATATATTGATTCGGAATGTCGCGTGTATATTTTGTACGTAGAAATGACGTTTTAGCCCCTACTCCTAAAAATTGATTCGTTATATCTAAGTATATTTTGTCGTATAATTTTATTATACAACAAAAAAAAAATACTTGTCTAATATTTTTTCATTACCTAACTGACGGACTAATTAAATTTTTAATTTTCATACCCTGTCATCATCCCTATTGGGCTACCGGTAACCTCACTCGCACACGAAATACATCGCTGTGGTTGTTTCACTTTGGTTTCCAGCTCGGTGGTATTACTCCGGTCGAGCCGGCCCAGCAGTGCCGAAGCATGGCTCTCCCATACTTCTCATCATTAATTAATGTATATTTTCTCCCAGGTGGCGTACTTAGAAAAGATCCGAGCAGATATACAGCGAGAGTACTGTGTTCGAGTACAGAGCTGTGTGCGACGATTTGTCGCTAGACGCAAGTATCTGCGACTAGTCGCTGCGATTCGAGGTTTGCAGGCAAGGGCCAGAGGTTTCCTTGCTAGGCGGTAAGTTTTGTTATAATATATTTTAAATATGTTTGTCAAGAATGGGATCTTTGATTTGATTTTCTGATTGAGTTCCGAGTTGCAGGTGCAAGTGCTGGGACCTCGGGTTAAATTCCCAGGTCAGGCAAACTTAAAAAATAAAAAAGAATAAGTTTTCCGCTATATCACGTAGTATGTGTCTTAAGTGTGGCATGTCTTATTCCTTAAAAATTGGAACTGTAAAGATCAACACTAGTTCGATTTTTAGTCGGCTAAAATCATTTAAAATCATCAGACTGCCTCATTGGCCGAGTGGTCGCAAGTGCGACTGCCGGGCAAGGGGTTTCAGGTTCGATACCCGGGTTGGGCAAAGTATTACTGAGTTTTTCGAAAAATTCACAGTAGTGGCAGGGAGTCTGAAATTGTGCCCGGTATATGGCAATAGACTCACCCCCTATTACATGGGACTCATAACATAAATAGTGAAAAGTGGGTATTACATTGTACAGTGGCATAATGTACACCTCGGTATCCCCTTCGGGGATAAAAGGCGTGATGTTGCGAGGCGCGAAAATTCTTAGTAATATAACACGGTATTTGGTATAGTACCCGGTGTTTGGTAATAGGGTTAGCCCTTATTACGTGGAACTTAACATCAACAGCCTAAAACTTCGGGGATTTAAACGCGTAATAAATAGTATAAAAATGTCACGCCTATATAACGACAATTCTCCTACAGTCGTGCTCAAGAAATCCGTCGCAAACGTGCCGCCATTAAGATACAGCGCAACGTCCGCGGCTGGCTGGCGCGGCGCCAGTACATGCGCCTGCGCAGCCTGGCTATAGGGCTACAGGCACGCGCACGCGGGTACCTAGCTAGGAAGCTGTACAGAGATAGGAGGAAGGTTATGGCTGTGAGTATTGGTTTCATCTATATTTTTTTATAAATTGTTGGTCGAGTGTTAAAAGTTCGATGCCTGGATGTGATTGTAAAATTGCAGATCAACGTCATTACGCAAGTGGCGAAATGTTTTGAGTGGTCTCAATCCAAAATGTATGAGTTGATTTTAATATTTGGTCAAATTTTTATGTCATTGTATTGTCTTCTGTTTTTTGTAATTTGCCCTGATTGAATACGACATAGAGTCTATAGACGTCGCGGAGAACCTAACGGGTAACCGGGGCTCCGGGTCGACGTGCAGGAGAAGGAACGGGGTGGTTTTTAGTCAGTAAGAGTCTGACACTCCCTCCCTCCCGCCTCACCCAGGCGGGAGCAGTCATTCGATGATTTGCCCCCTTAATTCGTCGAGTACCGTCATTATAGACACAATTATAGAACAATAGGTTGCGGTCACCGGTGACCGCTTGGTGTTTGACAGTTTAAAAAAAAAGAATATAGACAAGTGTCTATATCATAGATATGTCACTTTTACATATTTTAGTCGGTTGTATTAACGGATGCGGCAAGCAATTTTTAAAAATATTTGAATGACGTTTTTTTTTTCAATAATAAAGGAAATTTTTCTTTGAAGTATTAAGAGTACTTCCCCTTCAGGGGGCATTACAAAATTACACCCTGTATATTATTTCTATAGCAAAGAACCGAGAACGCGATATTTAAGCACAAACTGCCGGCTTGCATTAAAATTTGCTTAAAATTGACTTGCATTTCAGTATTCAAGTGTATAATATAAACCTTATTGTAAAGGTATTAAGTTACATTTCCCTTTGCAGGTGATAACAATACAGCGCTACGCTCGCGGTTACCTCGCCCGCAAGCGAGCTAAGAAGATCAGACATCAAATTATCATTGCACAGGCTGCCGTAAGTATATTATACTAGCTACTACCGCTCGGTTTCACACGCTCTGCTCAGCTCCTATTGGCCGTGGCGTGAGGTTTTATAGCTACCAATCACCTCCACGTGTCACTATAGTAAAAACATGTGGCTTACTCTTGAATCCAATTCTGATCGATCGACATTGGTATTGTAAAATTTCGTACTCTTGAGTTGCAACACTAGCGCCAATTGCATTTGTATTGCGTGGATATTATATGAACTAAATGGTATTGAGTTTGGCTTTATATTCCGTACTCTGAATGCTACTTTAACAGTTACGATAGGGGTTGTATAGTTTTGACATTGGATAATAGGCGTGTCGACAGGGTAAAAAAATCAAAAAAGTAATTAGTCCGTCATTAAGATCGCACGAAAATATCAGACACGTATTTTTTGTTTTATCAAATTAACAGAAGAATACGTAGTTATTCCGCATTAAAGTTAGGGAGTGGGGGGTGTTGACGTCACACTTACGGAGAAATCGTACCTAAGTGTGACGTCACGCGTAATTTTAACTCAAAATATCTACATGTTTTTTTGGATACGAGAAAAAAGAAAAAATACGTATCGAAGATTTTTAAAATATCTAAAAGACGGACAAAAAATTAAAAAGTAGTCGCCATGCCTATTATTGAGATTTTATTGGATTGAAATTGCATTGACATTGAGATAGGTTTCAAGAGTACGCACCCATATCTACAAAGATAAATAATCTTTATTTATTGCATTTTTTTTCTCTTCAGATACGTCGTTTCCTAGCCCGCCGTCAATACAAGCGCCTGCGCATCGAAGCTAGAAGTCTAGACCATGTGAAGTCACTGAACAAAGGCCTGGAGAATAAGATCATCAGTCTCCAACAGAGGCTGGGAGACGCGCTGGAAAAGAACAAGAGCATAGAGGTGCTGACGGCGCAGATTGTAGATTTAAAGTGAGTTTAGTCGATTAACTAGAAATCGCGGGTTACTCACGTGAATATACTGAGAAAAGTACTGCCTCGTTGGCCGAGTGGTCGCAATTGCGACTGCCGGGCAAGGGGTCTCGGGTTCGATTCCCGGGTCGGGCAAAGTATTACTGGGCTTTTTAAAATTTTCAGTAGTAGCACGGAGTCTAGAACTGTGCCCGGTATATGTCAATAGGTTCACCCCCTATTACATGGGCCTCGTAACATAAATAGTGAAAAGTGGGTGTTACATTGTACAGTGGCATAATGTACACCTCTGCCTACCCCTTCGGGGATAAAAAGGCGTGATGTTATTTTATATGATATACTGAGAAAATCTTTTTTTTTGAACCACGACAGTGGAAAAAAGCACACGGCCCACCTGATGGTAAGCGGTTACCGTGGCCTATGTACGCCTGCAACACTTGGGACATTACATGCGTCTTGCCGACTCTTTATAAACCTGTTTACTCCTTTGTTGATAACCCCATATTTTCTGTTGCTCTTTTGGAGTAAATTCCACAATCGGAAGGTCCATAGTTTAAGCTCTACTAGTTTCGAACCACAGAGGGGTTCTTCCTCATGAGCAGCGTGCGCGATCGCGGCGATACATTTGAGACTATTTTATTAAATTTTCTGTGATGGAAATGAAAACTATAGTTTTTTATAACTGAACATCACGGCTTTTTTTTCCGAAGGTGTATGCACAATGTAACACTCACTTTTCACTATTTATGTTATGAGTCCCATGTAATATTATACCAGAGTTTGAAGTGCATTTTGTAATATTTGAACTGATGCTAACAAGATTATAGCGTTAACTTAACAAAGGTTGATAAAACTCGAACAAAAATGTATCTATTTTCATCAAACATGTTATTTTTTTTAGTCTGTTGTTGCCAACATTTGTTTAATTTCTACTCAAATCACTTTGCTTCTATCTAAAATAATTTGGTACCATTCGTAGTATATCAAAACTGTTGTCTATCAAAAACTACAAATAAGATTAAAATTAATTTAAGTTCATTATATAGTTATTATGTTTCCGGCTTACTCACGTAACTGTTTGACGAAGAACTCGACTAGTTTCAAGGCATGCTAGAGGCTCGTATTCATGAGCAGCATTCCGCGACCCGCGACCGTGCCCTCCGCGCCATCTGCCGCGAGTGTCGCGCAGTGTCAGGTCGCGGCGCCGGTGCGATGCTGCTGGTACGCTAATCTAGCTCGCCGGCGGCTACGTAGGTGTTGGGTTCGAACCCCGGGTTAAAGCAAAAACAGCGTTACACACCGCGCTCACTGTGCTACACTTCAGACCCGCAACATTGTAGTCTGACACAGATAATAATTTAAATAAAAATTTTAATTCACAGAGCCAAACTAGAACTACTAAAACTAGTAGAAATCGAAGCTAAAACTCTCCGAGTGGACATATTCGACAAGGGCAGTCTAATATCTACTCTACAAGAAGAATTAGAAAGAGAAAAAGATAGCAATAGACTTCTAAAAGAAGAGAAGAGGAGTTTAGAGGAGAAGTATGAGAAGGATAGAGTTACTTGGGAAGAGGAGAGTGAGAAGTTGGCGAATGAGTTGAGGAGTAATAAGGAACATTTTGATTTGGCTATAGAAGGTAAGATCATTGTTTATGTTTTATTTAATTCGTTATTTACTCTTTAACTAGAAATCGCGGGTTACTTTCGTGAATATAGGTACTGAGAAAAGCTTTACTGGTTTCGGACCACAGAGAAGTTCTTCCTCGTGAGCAGCGTGCGCGGTCGCGGCGTATTTAATATGTCTTACGATAGTTACTATAAAAACATATTTACTCTTTGTAGAAAAAAAAATTCAGAAGAACATACATTTGGGTAGTTGTCTTAATCAAAAATAAACTATTTCGACTGTTCAATACAATAAAATATTAAAAAAATAATCACACTTTCATTAATTGATTTTATGCCCAACTCAATTTTAGTATTTTCCAGCAAATTTTTAGGAAAAAGGTATGCAGTTTGACGCTAAAAATTGTGACGTCACAATACACAATCTCGTACAAAATTCATAGAAAACTGTAGTTTTTCAGTTCAGACAGTTCTAAAAAAGTATTAAATTTGACTAGCTGGCAAGTTTGTACCCTATTGTAGTATATACCATGGCCAGCCTTATCACAAGGTGATTGCTTCCTTATTTTTTACCTAATATCTTATGGGGTTGACCCTATCCACGATACATACGAGCAGACAGATCACCTGATAGTAAGCAATCGACATCACACATGGACACCGAAAGAGGAATTGTAGAGTTCATTGCCATTCAATATTTTTTTGTCAGTACAATAGACCCAGTGGTATCCACTCTCTCCATTTGAGAATACTAAATTAAAAAGTTTCCAGGATAAAAAGTAAGTTTAAGTGTGGGAGCCATGCTTCGGCACGAATGGGCCGCCTCGACCGTAGTGATACCACGGTCGAGCACAAAACCGACGTGAAGCAACACTTGCGTTGTGTTTCGTCGTGTGAATGAGGTTACCGGAGGCCCAATTACCCTCCCCTTCCCCAATCTCCCCAATTCCTGAATCCCCAACGATCCTCGAACTACTAATCCTCAAAAGGCCGATAACGCACTTGTAACGCCTCTGGTGTTCCAGGTGTCCATGGGCGACGCCGATTTCTTACTACCAGGTGATCCGTCTGCTCGATAACGGGCTTATATATTACTAGCGACCCGCCCCGGCTTCGCACGGGTGCAATATGCATGTATTATACATACAAACCTTCCTTAAGAATCACTCTATCTATTAAAAAAAACCGCATCAAAATCCGTTGCGTAGTTTTAAAGATCTAAGCATACATACGGACATACAGCGAAAGCGACTTTGTTTTATACTATGTATTGATAAGCCCGTTATCGAGCAGTAGAGCAGTATTATATATAAAAATACTATAATTTGTCTTTTCTAGACTGCTTGCAATTACTAAGAATTTCGTTGAATTTGTAAACAGTGAGTTTAATAAAGGGCTTATACTTCTCTGTGTTGTAAGCGTGATATAATGCTATGAATTTTATCAAAATTGTCAATTATCGTGCGTCATAGTGCATATTAAAGATAAAAGAAATTAAGCTCCGTGACAGTATGTGGGTTTCATGCCTTTTGACTTGTCCGGAATTTGGCATTAGGGTCATCCCTATCGACAATACATAATTATGTACTTACGTAAAAGAAGGAAGCATCGCTTTTTAGCAGAAAGTTTTTTTATGGCATAAGCCGGTAAACGAGCAGACGGATCACCTGATGGTAAGCAATCGGCGTCGCCCATGGATACCCAAAACACTAGACATGTTACAAGTGCGTTATCGACCTTTTGGGGATTAGGAATTTAAGGATCGTTGGGGTTTGGGGTGATTGGGGAGAGGATAATTGGACCTCCGGTAACCTCACGACGAAACACAACCTAGCCGTTGTTCCATTCATAAAAGAAGAAGAATTTTTATAGAAGCCGCAAGTGCATTAGCGTAGAAAGAATGTCAAATTAATGAAAAAATTAAAAAGGCATTTAAAAAAAATAAAATGCGTTCGTTTATCAGTCCTTCAGTGAAGCTAATCGCTCGTCCCAATGCATGTGTCATCTATTAATCGTGTAATAACTTTAGTCTATTATCATTGGCCGCCTCATGACTGACTATCATGACTGCCTCATTGGCCGAGTGGTCGCATGTGCGATTGCCGGGCAAGTGTCTCGGATTCGATTCCCGGGTCGGGCAAAGTACTACTGGGTTTTAAAAAAAATCTCAGTGGTAGCACGGAATTGTGCCCGGTATATGGCAATAAGTTCACTCCCTATTACATGGGACTCATAACATAAATAGTGAAGAGTGGGTGTTACATTGTACAGTGGCATTAAGTGTCGTAATGTGCACATCTGCCTACTCCTTCGGGGATAAAAGGCGTGATGTTATGTTGTTGTCTATTATCATCAATTATGAAATTGTAAAAAAAAATCCCAAATTAAGTTTTATATCAAACCTAGACTGTGTTGCTTCACAGTCGTACTTAAGTACCGTATCAGTAGCGTCTTAACCATAAGGGTACTCGACACTCGTACCCATGGACCCCATTCTTAGGTGGCCCCGAAGGACCGACAATTTCTACGACAGACACTTACCCACTACACTTTGCGGGGCAACCGGTTGCCGTGCAAGTTATAGCGGGTTCGATTCCCGTATGTAGCAAATCTTTGTGTGCTCCACAAATTGTTGTTTCGGGTCTGGATGTTATTTGTATGTCAACTTGTATGTTTGTAAACGCTACAGGAGTATTCTAGTGTGGGGCAATGTTAAAAGATATTCGGAAAGGGCTCCGAATTGTGTACCTAAGAGCCCCAGCGTAGTCTAAGGTGGCCCTGAATGTAGGCGTCCCCCAATGACTGCCATATGGGCCGGTTGGAATTAACCTAGACCACATCTAGCTATTTTTTTTAATTTATTTAATGAGAGAATATCATAGACGTATACAGAGTGGATATGAATTGGACCGTCGCTAGAGGGCGCTCTAGACAGGCATATATCAACCAGATTGGCGATGTATTAAAGAAGGGTCAAATTAAAAGTACCCTTAACCGACGAGCATGCATGAAAAGATGACTGTTGATGAAGCGAAAGAGGTATGTAGGAATCGTAGCAATTAGCGTTCCACAATCTCTGCCTACAACCATGGTAGACAGGCGTGAGGATATGTATGTATGTAATATCAAAACCGATCTAGGTCGACTTGTATCACTTTTCACTGGCGAAACAGAAACACCAATAAACACTTGGCAAAAAATATTGATGCTAGGTCAAAATTTACACAAATATAAAAAATTATAATTATACTAACCTAAATTGTTAATTAACAAAAGTAAGGTTAATCAAAAATTGATTAGGAATTTGCATTATTTTACTAAAACAGACGCAATGTACATTCTTAAGGGTTCCGGAGGCGGTATTAATAAACCTTATTCATTTTAATCTATTTAATACATAGATTAAAATGCCTCATTGGCCGAGTGATCGCAAGTGCGACTGCCGGGCACGGCGTCTCGGTTTCGATTGCCGGGTCGGGCAAATTATGATAAGGTTTTTAAAAAAAAATCTCAGTAGTAGCACGGAGTCTGAAATAGTGCCCGGTATATGGCAATAGGCTCACCCCCTATTATATGGTACTCATAACATAAATAGTGAAAAGTGGGTGTTACATTGTACAGTGTCATTAAATGCCGTAATGCCGGCCCGGCCCGGCCCGGAAATCGAACCCGAGACCCCTTGCCCGGCAGTTACATTTGCGATCACTCGTCTAATGAGGCAGATAGAGGTAGGCAGAGCAGAAAAAAATTAAAAAAATCATTATAAGGAACCCACACTTCCAATGTCACTCACACTACAAAAATGACAAAATGAACAACACTATAATGCTTTCGATAAATACACAGATATGGCCTAAAACAGTCAGTTAGATAACGCAAGATAATTCGATAGATAACGATATTATTAATTACTTTTATGTTTTATCGATAAACGAAAGTCGTGTTGGCAAAAAAACTACAAAATGTCAATGTTTTTAACGAATAATGGAAGTTAAAACACGGTTCAAAGTGAAAATAGTGTTTTTTGTACAGTTCCTTATTTAAAACTGACGTTTATTAACGGTTTTGTTCGTGTTATAGGGATAATAATGTGAAATAGTATTGTGAAATTTTAATCAAAAGTGATTTATTGCAGTGTTGTCAAAATGTGATATAAGTAATCTTGTTTAGCGCATAGATGCCTATGGTCAGCTGTGGACGTCATGTAGCCCATGTGATAATGATAAAATAAGTTTACAATACTAACAGTATAATATCTTAACTTTATATTATTTCAATTTGTTTAAACAGTCAACAATATTAAACAAAATATAGAGATACTGAACTTACCTAAACAATCAATCAATACTTTGATAAAAATCCTATCGAAATCCGTTCAGCAGTTAACGAGTTCGAGACTGTCAAAATTGTGTCATTTTTTACTTCAATTTCGTTAAAAACCAACAGTAAAGCTTACCTAAACAATCAATATATACTTTGCTGAAAATTATAACGAAACCACAGCAGCAGTTATCGATTTTGAGACGGACATAACTGAAATTTTTGTAATAATATGTAGTTGTTAAAATTGGAATATAATTTTACAAAGATGTTAGTCGCAACAGAAGTGATAACTGACGTGCAGGAGAAACTATATGAAACCACTGGTGTTGTCGAGTGGTCGCAGGAGTTTAAGAGTCGAGCGCAGTTGTGGAAAGGTGATCCTTCCTGATTTTATAGATCTTTGGTTTTTTTATGAAATAAGACTGTAAACGAGCAGACGGATCACCTGATGGTAAGCAATCAGCGTCGGCCATAGATACCCAAAACACCAGACGTTTGGGGTTTGGGGTGATTGGGGAGGGTGGTAATTGGACCTCCGGTAACCTCACGACGATACACAACGCAAGCGTTGTTTCACGTCGGTTTTCTTTTCGGACGTGGTTTCACTTCGGTCGAACCGGCCAATTCTTGCCAAAGCATGGCTCTCCTACAATTAAATTTGAAGGAATATGCAACATTATATGCAAAATTAGGGTATACATTTTTTATCACAATTTTTCGCGCATAATTATTTATCAATGTTGTTTTATAACTTTATCTGATCATTTCGTTACGTGTTTACATTAATTTCAAATCAGATTTTATTGAATATTCGTATGACAATTTGTTGACCTTGAGCTTATTTTCTTTTTCTATCTCTTTGGCTAAATATGGATGTTACATTGTTCTCACATAATTAAACAATGTAACCAGGAATTGTATTGTGAACCTCATTGAAAAAGAGTAACCTATGGAGTTTCTTGTTCGTTCTTCTCCATAGGAATCTACACTTTGGAACGAGCAAACAGCTTCACTAGAGGACTGATCGACAGATTGAAATTTAAAATTTTACTTTTAATTTTTTACTAACTATTAGTGATAAGTAAAAACATATATCGTTGAACCTAATAAACAATTATAAATAATATCTTTCTCCCTTCTAGAGCGCGACAAGCAACATGAGCAGGAGAAGAAGGCGCTGAACGCTGAGCTAGAAGCAGAGAGACAGAGTCGACAGAAGTTGCTGTCTGCTCAGTATGAGCTGCAGGAGAGGATCGACTCCTTGCAGAGGTAAGCTATTTTTTTAAGGGGACAAAATCATCTAATGACTTCTTCCGCCTGGGTGAGCCGAGAGGGAGTGTCAGATTCTTGCTGACTAAAACCACCCCGTTCCTACTCCTGCACTTTGAGTCGAAGCCCCAGTAACCTGTTAAGTCCTCCGCGGCTTCGTATCAGTGGTGAACTATTTGCAAGTTTTTATGTCATTAGATCACCTGATGGTAAGCAATCAGCGTTGTCCATGGCCACTCGTAACACTAAGAATACAATAGATTTATAGTGAAAAACATGAGTATACAACAAATATAAAGTGTAGGAAAACCATGCTTCGGCACGAATGGGCCGGCTTGACCGGAGTAATACCACCAACGAGCAGAAAACCGACGTGAAGCAACGCTTAATTGCGTACTTGCTAACTAGTCAAATTCAATACTTTTTTCGAACTGTCAAAAACGACAGTTTTCTATGAATTTTGTACGCGATTGTGTCGTCACGTTTTTTTAGCGTCAAACAGCGTACTTGTTTCTTAAAAATTTGCTGGAAAATACTAAAATTGAGTTGGTCATAAAATCAATTAATGAAAGTGTGATTATTTTTTCGGAATAATTTAGTTTTGATAAAGGAAAATACCCAATTGTAGTTAACTTCATTTTATACCTTTCAATTTTTTTCTCTTTTACAGTAAACCAGCTCCGAAAGAACATAGAAGATCTTTGTCTGACGCCAGCAACAACTCGCAGCAAGAGACTACCGTTGAGGATGTAAGTTACGAACTTGCATCTTTTTATAATAACTATCGTGAGACATACTAATGAACTAAAAATCGCGAGTTACTCTCGTGAATATACTGAGAAAAGCTCTACTAGTTTCGAACCACAGAGGGGTTCTTCCTCATGAGCAGCGTGCGCGGTCATGGCGATGTTACCCCTCTGTGGTTCGAAACTAGTAGAGCTTTTCTCTAACCTGCGATTTTTAGTTAACTTGTGTCTTTCCCATATTATTTCTTACGGAAAATTACCTTATCGCCATTCAGCAATGATATCGTTTTTAATTCAGTATCATCAGTATAGACCGCCTCGTTGGCCAAGAGGCCGCAAGCGTCTGCCACGCAAGGGGTCTTGGGTTCGATTCCCAGGTTGGGTAAAGTATTACTGGTTTTTAAAAATACTCTGTAGTAGTACTAAGTCTGGAATTGTGCCCGATGTATTGTATTAGGCTCACCACCTATTACATGGGATTCATAAAGTCATAACATAAATAGTGAAAAGTGGGTGTTACATTGTACAGTGGCATTAGGTTCGCATTAAGTGCCGTAATGCGAACCTTTGCCTACCCCTTTGGGAATAAAAGGAATGTTATAATGTTATATTTGAAATCTCCAGGACTATGGCTACGGTTCGGTCAGGTCAGTGGAGAGCACGCGTCCAGCGCTGGAGGCCGTCAACTGGTCCGCCGGGGCACATAATGGACCTACCCAACCGGTAAGCTATTATCAAGAATTGTGTTGAAATAACTGCAGTTTCTGTAGGTAAGGTTTTGAAATGAGAATAGGAATTAGATAAAACGGAGTGGGGGAATTTCTACGTATAAAATGTACATAGAAGTGACGTCACGCGACATTTCAAATCAATATATCGTCGAAAGTATTCGTTTCTGTAAGAAAATAAAAAATACGTGTCTAATGTTTTTAAATAATTTACCAGACGGACATTAAAATAAAAATTAGGCATCTACACTATTAGAAAGTAAGTGAATACCAGCGTAAGGCTCTGTCTTGCACATGCTGAACTGGTCCCATTTCACGGCAGACTTGAGACATGAACATCTATCCATCAGTACCTACTAATAGAACAACACATCTGTACATGTCACTTGTTTTTTAGCGTTTTTTTATGGCATAAGCCGGTAAACGAGCAGACGGATCACCTGATGGTAAGCAATCGGCGTCGGTCATGGACACCTGGAACACCAGAGGCGTTACATGTGCTTTTTGGGGATTAGGAGTTTGAGGATCGTTGGGGATTCAGGGATTGGGGAAATTGGGGAAGGGGAGGGTAATTGGGCCTCCGGTAACCTCACTCACACGACGAAACACAACGCAAGCGTTGCTTCACGTCGATTTTCTGTGAGGCCGTGGTATTACTCCGGTCGAGCCGGCCCATTCGTGCCGAAGCAAGGCTCTCGGAACACGTGAAATAAAGTTTTTTCTTTCTTTCTTTTGCATTATCACACAGTTGTGACATGACATTTTTGTTCAGGTGGCAGACGCAGGCCTTGTGTTGCGCATGCGCAACAGAATATCCGCACTACAGAGCGAACTGTCGCGGACCACCAAGAGAGCTGCCGACCTGGAAGATAGGATCATGAGTAAGTACCTATAGAGTTCACTTGTAAAATATGAACTACAGCATTTTATTAATAATTAAATACCACAAACAATACTACTAGTCTGTTACTTTAAAAATGGACGTTGAAAAAAGGCGAGAGAGACAGTATTTTGAAACAACGCCTGTAGTTAATTTTCATGTTTTTCGGCTTACTTACGTAATTATTTGACAAGGAACTCGACTAGTTCCAAGCCATGCTAGAGGCTCGTATTCATGAGCAGCATTCCGCGACTCGCGACGTGGCGACTATCGCTGCTACTGGATTCTTGGGCAGCTAACAAGCGCGCCCTCAGCCGTGATTCCCGCGGCAAAACCTCTATTTTAGGTATCGGCGACGGCTACGCGCGCGACTCGGTTGCCAGTCGCGTTTTTCGCCAAATTCAAATTCCGCGAGTTTCTTTACGGTATAAGGCGTTAAACTAGCAGATGGATCACCTGATGGCAAGCAATCGTCGTCGCCCATGGACACCTGGAACACCAGAGGCGTTACAAGTGCGTTACCGGCCTTTTGGGGATTAGGAGTTTGAGGATCGTTGGGGATTCAGGGATTGGGAGATTGGGGAAGGGGAGGGTAATTGGGCCTCCTGTAACTTCACTCACACGACGAAACACATCGCAAGCGTTGATTCACATTCACGACTGTTTTCTGCTCGGCCGTGGTATCACTCCGGTCGGGCCGGCCCATTCGTGCCGAAGCATGGCTCTCCCACACTTGTTTATAAATGTATTGGAGTTTTTATCTAATAATGGTATGTCAACCCTATCGGTCCTTATTCTGAAGAGTACACATAACTTAATTACAATATCACAATACTTACGTATATCTAGAATGGCTTGTCAAATAACAAAATAATTAAATTTTGAAATGTATGCATTAATAATAATGTTTTACCCCCTCTCCTCCTCTAGACCGTCACTCAACGCCCCCCACAAACCCCAACATAGATCGTTACAAGCTGGAAGAGTTGGAGATTGAGAACAAGAAGCTGAGAGAACACCTGGACAGGCTTAGAGCGGCTGGAGATAGCATGCTGGTCTCTAAGGAGGTTATAGGTAAGGTACTTTTTTAAATACTGCCTGCCTCGTTGGCCGAGTGGTCGTAAGTGCGACTGCCGGGCAAGGGGTCTCGGGTTCGATTCTCGATTACTGGGTTTTTAAATATTCTCAGTAGTAGCACGAAGTCTGGAATTGTGCCCGGTATATGGCAATAGGCTCACCCCCTATTACATGGGACTCATAACATAAATAGTGAAAAGTGGGTTTTACATTATACAGTGGTTTAATGTGCAGGTGCACATTAAACCACTGTATATGTGGGCAGAGGTCTGCCTACCCCTTCGGGGATAAAAGGTGTGATGTTATGTTTATGTACTTTTTTAAATATTTGTTCATAGCCTGCAAGTGTTGATCTTTCTTTAAAACCTTAATACCCGCAACACAAACTGTGATTCACTATGGTTTCCTGTTCTGTGGTATCACTTCGGTCAAGCCGACCCATTCGTGATGAAGCATGGCTATCTCTCACTTGATGGTTTTACGGCCCTGCGAGGTTGATAATGTGTATCCCTCTAAATAATATATAGATACGTAACTTCACGCCTGTCTCCCATGGGGGTAGGCAGAGACTAAGGAACGCCAATTACTACGATTCTTATATACCTCTTTCGCTTCATTAACAGTCATTAATCTTTTCATGCATGCTCCTCGGTTAAGGGCACTTTTAATTTTGCCCTTCTTTAATTACCTTACGATAAAGTTTTAATTAAATATTTTATTTCCTTCAGAACAAATGAATGTGATGCAGAAGGAGTTGGACAGGAGAAGAGATGAGTGCATACAGCTGAAGAGTGTCCTAACTAACCAGGTATGTTGATTCTAATAATTTTAGTGTGTTTGTCTAAGTTGAAAATTTTCGCGTATGGGTCGAATTTTATTTAATTGACGTTTATTTCTAAATTAAGTTTGTTTTTGACGTATCAATAGCTTAGGGTAGCGAGAGCTGATCAGCAAAACTCGTAGACGGTTTTACAAATTGTGTATTACATTAATTACATTAAATGAGTAAAGAAAATAACAAAATGCGGCATCGCCGTCGTGGTAAAATTAGAAGTGCCGTCTCGCTCGCAGCGGCTCAGGCGAGCGCTCGTGTCCCCCGTCCCGCGCAAGCGAGCACTCGTGTCCCCCGTCCCGCGCAAGCGAGCGCTCGTGTCCCCCGTCCCGCGCAAGCGAGCGCTCGTGTCCCCCGTCCCGCGCAAGCGAGCGCTCGTGTCCCCCGTCCCGCGCAAGCGAGCGCTCGTGTCCCCCGTCCCGCGCAAGCGAGCGCTCGTGTCCCCCGTCCCGCGCAAGCGAGCGCTCGTGTCCCCCGTCCCGCGCAAGCGAGCGCTCGTGTCCCCCGTCCCGCGCAAGCGAGCGCTCGTGTCCCCCGTCCCGCGCAAGCGAGCGCTCGTGTCCCCCGTCCCGCGCAAGCGAGCGCTCGTGTCCCCCGTCCCGCGCAAGCGAGCGCTCGTGTCCCCCGTCCCGCGCAAGCGAGCGCTCGTGTCCCCCCGTCCTGCGCAGGCGAGCGCTCGTGTCCCCCGTCCCACGCCCCTCCTGCTGGCCGCGTAAACCCGGCGCTAGCACTCGCGCGCCCCCTCAGCCGTCGCGCACCTACAGCCGGTGGCAGCGGTCTTGTATAGACAAATTTAATATGAGGGAGGTTTCTGGAATAATTAAACTTATCAATAATAGGATCTTTAATTTATATTGCTTGCATCTGACTCTGGGAAAATAATTTAAAAAATATAGAAAGATACCAAGTAGGTTTCTGTAACATACCAAGTAGATTTCTGTCTATCTGAAATAAGCCCGAATATTCGTTTCTATGTTTAATATATTATATTATGTATAATGCCATTGACATAAAATCTACAAAAATGCCTCGTTAGCAGAATGGTTATAATTGCCACTGTCGACCAGGTTTTCTAGTATTCGATTTACGACTAAGCCAACAAAATGTTAAAAAAAACTCTCATCAACAAGCATGTATTACCATGTTCATCTTTGTCATTAGCAACTTATTATATAGAGTAGTAAAAACCTCTACCTACCCCAGAATGGATGTCAGTGTGTCTGTTTGTATGTCGCAAATGTATGTTCATATGTCTATACACACGTCATACATAAATGTATGACAGACTTTATCAAAATGAGGACTCAAGTTGTCCTAACATCCGCAAGATAACAATGATATTTTAGATAATTTTTATCTATCTTGTTTGCTTACATCACATAAATTTTGGTGCTAACATTATTGTCGTGAAAAGTGATTCTGTATGTTTGTTTGTTGATATTTTTGATGAGAGTTGTACTTACATGTGGATGATTCTCTTTGAAAGTATTGATCAGATGTTTTCTGTATCATGGATTTAATCTGATAAGCCAAAGTAGTATTGAGTGATTGTTAATTCAGACAATTATACGTGATTCAATCCGAGGTTTGAAAGCTTTTAAATTTTGATCAGACCATACCATATGAGGTACCGTAAAAAGGGGTGAATATAGGGATCGAGAGGTGAATAGGGATAGGGACAGAAGAGGGGTGAACAGATATAAGGAAATTCTTCATAGTATCGATTCATCCCATTTTACCGTTATTCAAAGTTTGGAGTTTAACTGAAAGATTGTGTATGCACCGAGCCGTCGTTCGTGGAGGACTAGGGGAGAGGCATTTGTCCAGCAGTGGACGTCTTCCGGCTTTTGATGATGATAATGATAATGATGATATGATATTGATTAAAATTGTATAATATGCCTGATTATGATACCCTGAAGATACCTCGTCAGAGATGATGAGAAATCTACAATATTCAAAGAGACAGCTATTTTGTTTATTCCAGTGCTTCTTCTCCTAAAGTATTAAGATAAGTAATGCCTATTATGATTTGTAAAATGATTCTACTGATTCTAAATGAACAAACTTAATATATAATTAGGTAAATGAAACAAGAATAGTCACGAAGTTTTACTAGTAAAGTATAACATAATTTACATTTTTTGACATATGTTTATTCGGTGCAATAGTTGTTACAGTTTGTTTTGTTACAAAAGTAGAATGAAGTGCTGTGACAACTGTTTTGAACATAGTTTTGAGTGATTTGAGTACGAAACAATTTTAACGTGTTTTAAAAAGTATTGGATTAACACAAAGTCGGTGAAACGCAATCTTGGACTTTTTACTAAATTAGTAATTGGACATCCGGTAACCTCACTCACACGACTAAACACAACACAAGCATTGTTTCTGTGAGGCCGTGGCATCATTCGTGTCGTTAAATGTCATCCATCTTGGCTTAAGGGTTGTTTAAAATGTTGGAGAGGTTGATGAAAATTAGTATTCAAGTTTAATTAAAAAACAGTGGATATTAAAGTTTAATAAATACGGTAAAATGGGGTGAATGGGGATCAAGAGGTGAATAGGGACAGAAGAGGGGTGAATAGATACTATGAAGAATTTCCCAATATCTATTCACCCCTCTTCTGTCTCTATTCACCTCTCGATCCCTATCCACCCCATTTTACGGTAGTCAGTGATGTGCTAGAGTGATCACGCTGTAATTAAAATGGCTTTAGCATTAACGGGGGTGAAGATTTCGAAGAAGTTGTTTATGGATCAACCCCTACATAGGAGTAGCTACTTTTATAGTCCAAAAGAGGTATTATTTATTTTCTTAAACAACCTTTTTTCACTTGCAATGTGTGTAAGTGTGTGAAGTGGAATCGCGAACTCAATTTTTAAGCTGACATATTATCTTCAACCGATTGAGGTCAAATTTTAAAGGTATATACAAATATAAACTTGTTTTTTAGGTATAAAAGGTATAAACCTAGCTGCATATAAGATTGTTTTAAAAACAAAACAATTTTTTTTTCTAATTAGGTACTTGCCAACTAAGTAGTCAAATTCAATACTTTTTTCGAACTTTCAAAAACGACAGTTTTGTATGAATTTTTTAGCATGCTCGATAGTTTTCGACGACACTCGACAGATTTCGAGGACGCTCGATAGATTTCGAGGACGCTCGATAGTTTTCGAGGACGCTCGAAAGCGATCGAGGAAGCTCGATAGATTTCGAGGACGCCCGATAGTTTTCGAGGACGCTCGAAACCGATCGAGGATGCTGGATAGTTTTCGCTCGATGTACTTCGAATTTAAGACGCTACTGACCGGTATAGGGCCTCAAACGTAATACACGACGCTAATATTGCTTGCGTCGAGTGGGATTTTTCCCGGCGATGATATTTCTTATGCTTTCTGCTTACTCTGGACAATGATTTTGAATAGTAGGTAATGAGTCGCTCGATTTGCCGCCCCCATGATTGTGCGCCCGCGTGCTGTGCCGCTTTGCACGCGCGCTTACGGCGGGCCTGACCAGAAATAATGTCTATATATAACATATATACATATACATATATAATATAATAATAATGACTGCCTCATTGGCCGAGTGGTCGCAAGTACGACTGCCGGGCAAGGGGTCTCGGGTTCGATTCCCGGGTCGGGCAAAGTATATATGGGTTTTAAAAAAAATCTCATTAGTAGCACGGAGTCTGGAAATGTGCCCTGTATATGGCAATAGGCTCACCCCGTATTACATGGGACTCGTAACATAAATAGTGAAAAGTGGGTGTTACATTGTACAGTGGCAATATGCACCTCTGCCTACCCCTTCAGGGATAAAAAGGCGTGATATTATTATTATGTTAAATAATAATGTATTCTTCTATTGCAACACAGAAACCGTGGTTCCAAGCTCTGAAAAACGTCGTGAGTAATTTACAACTGTAGATATTCGATGTTGTAATATAGATCTTAAGTAGTTTGACATAAGGTTGAATGTGTTTTTTGTTATCTTAGACTTATAACATAACTGGTCAACAGTAGGTGTTACTTATACACCTCTGCCTGCCTTGTTTAACATGTCTAATCATTTTAATTTAATTAATTTAATGTTCTTAGTAAATTAATAATTTTAATGTTATGTTAACGAAATATTGCGAGATACTCACGTGAACATACTGAGAAAAGCTCTACTAGTTTCGAGACACAGAGAGGCTCTTCCTCATGAGCAGCGTGCGCGGTCTACTGAAAGAGCCTCTGTGAATCGAAACTAGTAGAGCTTTTCTTAGTATTTTTATATGAGGAACCCGCGTTTTTTAGTTAATTTAGTATGTCTCACGATAGTTACTATATTTAATGTTACTCACGCTTTAAATGTTGTCTAATGTTAGTCTTTTTAGCTTTTTATTTTTATATAATAGTCCAAAAAAAAGGTTTGACTGTAAGTCATAATTGTAAGCCCCGGTGTAACTCGAAACTAATCGGGTATCCTCGTACAGTTAACCATATATATATTTCTATTTATTTTAATTATTTTCATGCGTTTCGTTTGCGGTCCCGTTAATGCATGGTATACTTTTAATTTTTTATATTGTTTCGTAGTATTTAGTGTATTTTTATATGTTAAAATATGAATTCGTTGGATTGATTTAGTAATTTGACGTTAATTTAAGCCAAAAGTAGTAGTAACTCGTCTACAATGGATTATCAAAATTTTCACACAAAAATAGTCTCTGATCTTTGGAAATAAGGTCTATAATAAAGGTGGATGAGTGAGGACACCGGTGTTTTCTTTTGTTTTTGATTTTTTTTGCCGTTATGGCATGCAAATATTGTATAGGTACATGGCTACAAGTATTTTCTTATTCAAATTCCGATAACCTCACACACACGAGGAAACACAACGCAATCGTTGTTTCATCTCAGTTTTCGGCCATGGTATCACTCCGGTCGAGCCAGCTCATTCGTGCATAAACATGGCTCTCCCAGAAAATCCAACCGAAAACCATCAAAAATATAATACAACAATAATAAATTGATAATTATAATGAATATAATTATTAATGTCAAGAAAAGATGTCAATAAGTCAGTAAGTCAGCACTAAGGAAGTCATATTATAATAGCACTTGTCGACCAAAGTTCCTTTAGCGTCTTGTGAAATTTCAACACAAAATTAATTATTATGTTTTCGGCTTACTCACGTGACTGTTTGACGAGAAACTCGGCTAGTTTCAAGTCATGCTAGAGTCATTTATTAGCAGCATTCCGCGACCCGCGCGCGGCGACTGTCGCGCTGCTACTGAGTAAGCCAAAAACATATTAATTAATTTAGTATGTCCTACGAAAGTTAGAATATTAACAATTTCAATACAATCATAGTTTTTATAACAACTGGTACCTCGTCGGTGTCCTCTTGGCTTCTTTTTTAACGAGATTTATTAACGCAAAATAGTTGATTAATGTCGAACGTGAAACGCTACTCAATTTTAAGTCATGCTTAAGTATAGTTCTATCTCTACAAATTCTTTGTAAAATGACAGAGATGGCACGATATTTGAGCACGACTTAAAATTGAGTAACGTTTCAGTATTCCGGCATTAATATGTCAAATTACTAAATCAAATCGTATTTTAGATCTAATGTAATCGTTAGAAGTATTCAAAGTTTATACAAAAATAACCTTTATGTAGATGAAGTTTAGACTTAGATTACTATTTTATCTTTTAATATTATTAATATTACTGTTTCGGTTTAACATTTTACTAAAAGAGTCTTCTCTATTACGGGAGCCTCGTCGTATAATTTTATGTTGTCATTCAATTCTGAACTCTATGTCAACAGACTGTGAACCTGAAGTCGCTGGCGTCGTCTAACTACGGGTCGGACGTCGATATTATCAATGAAGATGGTGAATTGGCCACTGCTTATGAAGCGCAGAAGGGAATTAATAGGTGAATCTTATATTATTGTACCTCTATAAAGTGGAAGAATTTTTTTGTTTGTTTGTTTAAACGCGCTAATCTCCGTAACTACAAGTCTGATTTTAATAATTCTTTTTATGTTGGATAGCGCATTTATCGAGGATGGCTATAGTCTATAAAACATCACGCTACGACCAATAGGAGCTGAGCAGAGCGTGTGAAACCGTGCGGAAGTAGCTAGTATAAAATATTTCTTATTTCCACGCATACTTCTCGTAGTAGTCCGTAGACTGCCTCGTTGGCCGAGTAGTCGTAAGCGCAACTGCCGGGCAAGGAGTCTCGAGTTCGATTCCCAAGTCCTGGGTTTTTGAAAAAAAATTCAGTTTTAGCACGGAGTCTGCAAATATGCCCGGTATGTGGCAATAGGCTCACCCCCTATTACATGGGAGTCATAACATAAATAGTGAAAAGTTGGTGTTACTTCTGTGTGCACCTCTAGCTACCCCTTCGGGGATAAAAGGCGTGATGTTATGATATGTTATGATAGTTTATAGTGTAATTTTTTTTTTTATAAAATAACGACATTTCGTTGTTCCACAGGCAACTACAAGAAGAATTGTTATTAGAAAAGAAATTCTACTCCGAACACATATCAAAGTCGAAAGCAGAGATAGAGAAACTAAGAGAAGATAACGAGAAATATCAAAAGTAAGTACCTACTTCGTAATTTCACTGAGTATTGTAAATAATTATATTTTTAACATAATTATGTACATTTAGCTAAGTTTATTAATTATGCAGGGATGAAATTAAAGATTTAATTAGTACAGAGACAGCAATTATTATTAATATTAATTAGGAGGTCCAATTACCCCCCTCCCCAATCTCCCCAATCACCGGATCCCCAACAATCCTCAAATTCTTAGTCCTCAAAAGCCCGGTAACGCACATCTTGCAACGCCTCTGGTGTTATGGGTGTCAATGAGCGACGCCGATTGCTTACCAAGTTCGTTTACCAGTTTACCCTATAAAAATATTATATTCAATTATAAATCAGCTCAGTAGCCAACCGGTGATTACTGTCTCCGTATTAAGTCTATCTTTATTTTATTATCTATATATCAAATAACTTTGCTGAATGTATATAAATAGAACTAATTGTAGGTCCTAAAAAATTGCTTAGACTAAGCGGTAATTACTTGCGCAAAAACCTTGTACTTGCGCTAACGGTTTGCGCAAGTCTTGTAATCATTCAGTTCGTTCATTCACCATATATCCACTTCGTTCATTACATAAACATAAACGAGCTGACGGATCACCTGATGGTAAGCGATCCTAGCCGCCCATGGACACCCGCAACGCCAGAGTAGTTACAAGTACGTTGCCGGTGTTTATAGTGTTAGGGATTTAAGGGGTTGAGGAGTTTCGGATTGGGGACTGGGGCATTGGGTGATTTGGGAATTTGTGGGATTGGGATTTCATTCATTCATTCCATTAGAAATCCATTCCTTTATCTCGGTTTTCAGCGCTGAAGATTACAGAAAGGTTCACGTCAAGATTAGGCGATATTATTACGAACCGAAGAAATATTTATCATGCACATGTACTAAAATATTTATGGATTTAGCTATGAGTGTATTGAAGTTTTTATGTGATTAATTTATTTATTAATGTGTATTCAAATAAATGTTTATTTTCGTTCGCTTTTTTGTCATTTTTCGTTGTGTTTGTGTGCAAAAAATCTTTGAGAAGACGCTCAAAAGCGTATTAGACTGACACAATGTTTTTTTAATTATAAATCAGTAATGGTTCCGTAATTCCGTTAAAGTTTTGCGTAATATTGTCTGTATTGAGTATGTATTTATTACGATTTGCTAAAAAGAAAACAGTATACTTTTGATCGACGTGTCTAACTGATTTGCACATTCCATATTGTGTGCATCTCTACCTACCCACTTGGGAAACAAATCCTTGTTATATATACATATGTGGATGGATAGTCCGACTTTAAGACTTTTTGTACATGAACATCATTCATACCATTATTTCACCTCATTACTTTGTAAATATGGTAAAAGGGACTTTATTGATACGCGATAAAGTTCACTTTTTAAAATTAATAGAATTGATTTATGTAATACAATTTTTATGTATATTTCTCTCGTTATTTATTCATAATAAATTATTAAAGTGATTAATAGTGTAATAAAATTAATTCATTCGATTAATTTGAATAATTTAATAAAGCTAGATAATTTTATAGTTATGCTCGTAAATTATATAATTAAATTAACGGTCATAAATCAATATCAATGAATTTAATGTTCTTATTTCAATAATTTGTGTTTCATTTGTCACTCGTAAACTGAAAAACCTATTTTGACAAAAAAAAAAATATACAGAAATAGTTGAAATATTTGACACAATTATATTTTTTGACACTTTGGACAAATGTTAGTAATTAATTTAATGAATAATTATTAAATAAAACCAACTGTGATCATGTGTGATTATAGATAATAATATTGAATAAAACAAATCTTAGCTAGATAACTGATAGCGCAAAAAATCGCTGGTTCGAATCAAGACTGAATTAATGTGATTATATTATGTGTGTGTAATCTATATAGTTTATTAATTTGTGTATGTGTGTGTGATATTCATTTTCGTGTTTGTAATCGCACCTACAACTACATATTTATCAGTAGTGTCTTTATTTTCAATTATAGTACTTATATATTAATGGTCAATATTATAAGGGTTTATCTTTTTTAATTCCTCTAAAAAGGTTCTTCATTTTTTTATTTTTATTACCTGCCACTTCTGGGATAAAAAGGTGCAAAGCTAGATACAGGAGTTAAAGGGAATACTTCTGAAATTTCAAACTAAACATTTTTTTTGTTTTTTACAATTTCAATGTTTTGTTTTCATGTTATTCATGCCCGTATATGGCAATAGGCTCACCCCCTATTACAAGGGACTCATAACATAAATAGTGAAAAGTGAGCGTTACATTGTACAGTGGCATAATGTACACCCCTTCGGGGATAAAAGGCGTGATGTTATGTGTTATGTGTTATTCATGCAACATTAGCCTTGAGCAGTTAATTACAACTATTATTATATAAAAAAAAACAAATTTAATACGTTTAACAATTATTGTGAAAAGATAAGCAATTGTTATTCATATAATTCATATTTTAATATTCTTTCTATCACATTCTGTATAATTTTCTTTCAACATCTGTTTCTTTCCGAAAATGTTCCACTATTAGAACGTAGTTCAAAATTGTGCCCGGTATATGGCAATAGGCTCACCCCCTATTACATGGGACTCATAACATAAATTGCGAAAAGTGCGTGCTACATTGTAGGTACACTTGGGAGCAAAAATACGGAGCCCCTAGCGATTATTCTTTTTCATTCCTTGGCAAATATTTTCTAATACAAGTATTTTATTAATTGTTAACGTATGTAGTATATAAGGCAATTTAGTTACCTTTAAAATGAGAGCATTGTGTTGTAAAAGGAATATTTTTAAGTCGTAGAAAGTTTAATGAAATAAAAAATAATGTTAGTAGCTTTGTTCGTTTGCTCCCAAGTGTCTATGCGCACCTCTGCCTAACCTTTCGGGGAATATAAGGCATGACGTCTCTTTCCTTTTTTCTGAATTATATGTCTTTCTCTTTCACTCTTCTCTTTTCACAATCCATCCTCTTTTCTCTAGTCATTCCTTTCATTATGCCATTGTGATTCATATTGTTACTAACATAAGATATATTTTTGTTTAATGTAACCATCTTTTTAATATAAGTCATATTTCTTACTGACATTTAATGTATTTTTCTTTAATTTAAGCCTGTTATTGTATCTGTAATGTGATTTCTGTATCTGACTAAGAATAAATCTAGATTTTAATTAGTATCTTCTAAATCTTCACGTGTAAAGTTCTATTTTTTATTCATAGGGATCGGGTTATGGAGTGACTAAACGAAATTTTTAAAAAGAGAAGACTGGGAAATATATTGATTTGTGTGTGTGTGTGTGTGTGTGTGTGTGTGTGTGTGTGTGTGTGTGTGTGTGTGTGCAAAACATACATAAAACAAACACACTTTCGCACGCATGTTGAATTTTTTTTTTAAATTAAAATGGAAGTCTACAGCGAGAGCTGAGCTTATTCTAGAATACAAAAATAAACTTAAACCTATTACAATATTAATTACTCAAATACTACATAATTCAAATTGCACATTTCAAAACTTATAATTCTCTAGTATTTCCTATAATTTGGTACCTACTTGCCAACTAGTCAAATTCAATACTTTTTTCGAACTGTCAAAAACGACAGTTTTCTATGGATTTTGTACGAGATTGTGTATTGTGACGTCCGTTTTTTAGGGTCAAACAGCGTACATATTTCTTAAAGAAATGCTGAAAAAAAAAATTAAAATTGAGTTGGTGATAAAATCAATTAATAAAAGTGTGCTCATTTTTAAATATTTTATTGTATTGAACAGTCGAAATAGTTATTTTTTTAATAAGAAAAGTATTCAATTGCATAATTTTCTAGTATTCGCTATAAATGCATTTTTCCCTGTTTTATAAAATAGAACTTTACATTAGGAGATTTCTTTTTCATTAGTGACTTCTTTGTTTACCTACTTACCTTAATAAATAACTAAATATTGACAAATTTAATTCCAATTCTAAGACATGAATAGCATTCTTAACTTTTACTTTTATTTTTTAGTAATGTTTAACTTAAACTGTTCTTTGTATTATTTGTACGTGGAAAGAAGCTTACCAATATTGTGTGTCCATTACATTTAGATTAAAGTTGTCTAAAGGGCCTCTGCGCAGTTTGCTTCGGCCCCTCGTACGCCTCCCAAATAACCAGGGTGCTTACTCTTTAAACCAATCTCAATATCAATGCAATTTCAATCCAATTAAAACTCAATAATTAGTCAATGTCAACACTATACAACCCCAATCGTAGCTGTTAAAGTAGCATTCAGAGTACGGAATATAAAGCTAAACTCAATACCATTTCGTTCATTCAATATCCACGCAATACGGATGCAATGCGCGCTAGTGTTGCAACTCAAGAGTACGAAATTTCACAATACCAATGTCGATCGATCGGAATTGGATTCAAGAGTAAGCCCCCTGAACCCTGTGGTCCCGTGAATGCTAAAGATACACATATCATTACTATATCACTTATAATAGTCACTCACATTTCTGTTGCCCCTCTGTTGCTCTAGCAACCATTCCCGGGGCCCGGTCGGTAAGTCGGCAAGCCTCCGCCTGCCATTTTTACGTGGGCCATAGTCATTCATAGTTCCCAATTTACCGATCCACAGCAACCCATCGATAGCCTTATCTTTTTTTCCATTATCTACAATAGTTCTATATAGTCGCCGGTTTGTGTGTCCATTACATTTAGATTAAAGTTGTCTAAAGGGCCTCTGCGCAGTTGGCTTCGGCCCCTGGTTCCCAAATGACCTCGTTCCCAAAAGACATCAATAATATGATGTTCAGATTGGTTTCTAGTAGATTGTATTAACTACACAAAATTAACTAAAAATCGCGGGTTACTCACGTGAACATACTGAGAAAAGCTCAACTAGTTTAGTACGCTGCGCAACATCACCGCGACCGCGCACGCTGCTCATGAGGAAGAGCCCCTCTGTGGCTCGAAACTAGTAGAGCTTTTCTCAGTATATTCACGTGAGTAACCCGCGATTTTTAGTTAATTCTAGTAGATTACTCATATCTGCATTTTATAATAATAACTTTTTGGGTGCTCCGAAACTGTCACTCAATTTTTCTTCCCCTTTGCACATAATACGTTCAATGTAAAATAATCTTTATTGTTATTTACACAGCTGTTATTTCTCTATAACTTATTCTTATTATTAAGGTTATGTTATAGATGTTATAAAATAACTTATTGTTATAGGTTATTGAGCTCAGACTTGAGTGCGGAACCGAAGAATAAGACTCAGGAGTTTGCACAGAATGAAATCATTCGGTTGGCAGCTGAAAGTTTGGCGCTACAGGTAATAGAAATTAATTGTATTATTTTCTAATATACCTCTTTGCTCCTGCGGTCTCTAGTTGCTTTCGATTCCTGGTATGACAGAAGTTCAAAATTTGTGTGTAATAAAATTTCGGACTATTATATTAAGATATTTGCTCATCCCCTATTATTTAAAATTCATTCATAAAATAATGTAATTGTAAGTTATTTGTACACGTAAAAATCTTATATAAACAGGTTCTCATTTCGATCTGTTTGTATGCCGATGGTATATATGGTATGTGATGGGTTGTAGAGGTATTATAGTTTTGACATTGAATAATTATTGAGATTTTATTGGATTGAAATTGCATTGACATTGAGATTGGTTTCAAGAGTAAGCATCCTGATGTAATATATGTTTTTTTTACAGGAACGCGTCGACAAGTTATCAGAGAGCTGTCGGCGCTACAAAAACCAGATTCGTCTACTGGTGAACAAGCTGAAGGAGGTCGGCATCGATGACGTCAACGATATACTTGATAGCAATGGTAAGAGCTACTATTTCGCTTCGATTCCCGCACGAAACAAGTTGTTTAATGTTCCAAATTGTTGCAAAGTCAAAGTCAAAATCGTTTATTCAATTAGACTAGGAAGGTACTTTTGAACGCAGTGCATACATATGAGTCCCAGTGTGACTCGAAACTAGTAGAGATTTTCTCGAATTTTATATTTACCCCGCAGACGACCAATGAGGCTTTCTTCTTATGCCTATAAATGCCCACTGCTGACCAAAGGCCTTTTCTCACACGGAGATGCAAAAGTGGTGATTAATGCACAAACGAGCATTAGTTGGCGATTAATATTTCAGTTGGTTTTTGGTCGATTGGTCGCAAGCGTTAAAAAGTAAAAAAAAATCTATTGTTCCCATCCCAGATCCAGTGGTACCACCGAACGCGTCGATGACGCTAGAGATGGCGCCGGTGACTCGTAAGAAGGAACGAGAGTACCTCGGCATGTTCGAGTACAAAATACAAGATGAAGGACTGATCATTAAGAAACTTATATCTGGTGAGTTACATTTCTCTTAGGTATCTTATACTATTTGTTAAACTTCTGGGTCTCCCTATCTTTTAAACCATTGGACTTATTTGAGTGGGATTCGGTAAGATGGTTTGAGACTCGGAAAATAAAAACTGAGAGTTTTCAACCGCTGTATCTATTTGATTGGAATTCAAATAAAGTGATAATCAATGAAACCTCACGGGAATGGATTAACAGATGGCCTATGGGATTGTTTATTTTTTGAAATCACGATAATGAACAAAATTTCACAATAAATATAACTGAATTGATTCTGATGACATTTGTTCCACAGCATTAGAATTTACCTTGGAAAAGACCAATTAAAAAATCCTAGTTTTGCCAAAAGTCATTATTATACGCGGACGAAGTCGCGGGGAACAGCTAATTATTATATATAAAACAAAATTAAAGCAAATTCAACTTTAATCCCTACAGATTTAAAGCCGAAAACAGCAGTAACCCTCCTACCAGGGTTGCCAGCGTACATATTGTTTATGATGCTCCGCCACATGGACCATGTGGATGATGAACCTAAGATGCACCAGCTCATGAAAGCCGTCCGGACTGCTGTGAAGAAAACCCTGAAAAAACGAGCCGAGAGCGTTGAATATAACGCCTTGTGGCTTGCCAACATGTTGCGGTAAGCCTTTAACCTATACATGTAATAAAACTGTACAAGTGAAAAGTTTAACATCATAACATCACGCCTTTTATCCCCGAAGAGGTAGGCAGAGGTGCACACAGAAGTAACACCCACTTTTCACTATTTATGTTATGAGTCCCATGTAATAGGAGGTGAGCCTATTGCCATATACCGGGCACATTTCCAGACTCCATGCTACTACTGAGAATTTTTTAAAAACCCAGTAATACATTGCCCGACCCGGGAATCGAGACCCCTTGCTCGGCAGTCGCACTCGCGACCACTAACCCAGTAATACTTTGGCCGACCCGGGAATCGAACCCGAGACCCCTTGCCCGGCAGTCGCACTCGCGACCACTCGGCCAACGAGGCAGTCTAGTGAAAAGTTTGTACATTGAAAATATTGAAAAAAGAAATATTAGAGGTTGTTACTAATCTACTGTTAATTTTTTTCTGTCTGTCTGTCCAAAGTACCCAGTTGTGCCCAGGATTAATATCCTAGGCACAACATTGGGTACTTTGGGTATGATAATGACATGCTTGCTTCGGCACGAATTGGCCGGCTAGACCGGAGTGATACCACGGCCTCACAGAAAACCGACGTGAAGCAACGCTTGCGTTGTGTTTCGTCGTGTGAGTAAGGTTACCGGAGGCCCAATTACCCTCCCCTTCACAATCCCCCTGAATCCCCAACGATCCACAAACTCCTAATCCCCAAAAGGCCGGTAACGCACTTGTAACGCCTCTGGTGTTCCAGGTGTCCATGGACGACGCCGATCGCTTACCATCAGGTGATCTGCGTCTGCTCGTTTACCGGCTTATGCCATAAAAAATGTCATGCTAATGTTTTAATATGTTTATCTGTAGCCTCCTAAACAACCTCCGCCAGTACAGTGGCGACACTATATACCAGTCAGCCAACACGCCGCGTCAGAACCAGCAGTGTCTGCGGATCTTCGACCTGTCCGAGTACAGGCAGGTGCTCAGCGACATCGCCGTCTGGATATACCAGGGTAAGTACGGATTGTTATACCTATAAGAACTATAAGTTAAATTGACTAAAAATCGCGAGCTACTCACGTGAATATACTGAGTAAAGCTCTACTATACTCGGAATTTTAATTCGATTCCAGATTTGACAATTTCAGTGTTGCAACGTTATGACAAGTACTAAATAGTGACGTTGCGAAATTATTCGATATGGAAATGGAATATTTCGGGATCGATTCTTCTCGTTTATAATTTTACTCTCGTAAACTAAGTTTATCAGGAAATTAAATATGATCGATAATTTAGTTTTGACGATTAATTAACGATCTGAGACTTTTATTTTACAATTGTGTGTGAAATAAATAAAAAATGTAACCATGAAGGAACATGACAAATAAAACAGATAGATGTATTATGGTAATAAGTTATTTTATAAATTGTCGCCGTCATCGCTATCGCTATCCTGTCACTTTCTGTAACATTTATTATAAAATACACACACTGATTGTTTATCGATTTTTGTTTTTTTTGTTTTTTGTTTGTTCATCACTACGCTATTATATGTGGTATCATTATTTCACAAAATGACAGTAGTCAATGTCAAATCTGGAATCGAATTAAAATTCTAACTATAGTTTCGAACCACCGAGGGGTTTTTCCACATGAGCAGCTTGCGCGATCGCGGCGATGTCTCGAAGCCTACTAATTTCCCCTTCCTCCCGCGATTTTTAGTTAATTTATTCCTTCATGTGTACATCGATTATATACACCGCCTCGTGGGCTGAGTGGTCGCAAGTGCGACTGCCGGGCTAAGGGTCTTGGGTTCGATTCCCGTGTCGGGCAAATCATTACTAATTTAAAAAAACATAAAATTCTCAGTAGTAGCACGCAGTCTGGAATTGTGCCCGGTATATGGCAATAGGCTCACCCCCTATTACATGGGACTCATAACATAAATAGTGAAAAGTGGGTGTTACTTCTGTGTGCACCTCTGCCTACCCTTGGAAATAAAAGGCGTAATGTTATGTATTATGTACACAGATATGCTCAGTACGTGCCTACTGCCTATATTACATCTAAGTTTAATATGTACACAATCTTTAATAACATTATTTTTTTTAATCTTCAGGCCTAATCCACCTCCTAGAGCGTCAACTAGAGAGGCTAATAATCCCAGCTATACTGGAACACGAGGAGATCAGTGGCCTGTCGGGTCCCACGGCGCGGCCCCCGCAGGCCGGGGCCGGCCCGCAGCGGCTCAAGCAGGAGCTGTCCGCTACACACGACCATTTACACACGTTCGCTGTCGACCAACCGTTGAGATTGATGATTTTTAAGCAGGTATGTGTTAACTACAAATGGGGATGATGACAGGGTATGAAAATTAAAAATATAATTAGTCCGTAACTTAGGTAATAAAAAAATATTAGACACGTATTTTTTTATTTTGTTGTATAATAAAACAATACTTAGATAAAACGAATCAAAGTTTAGGAGTGGGGGCTAAAACGTCATTTCTTAGTATAAAATGTACTGAGAAGTGACGTCACGCGACATTTCAAATCAATATATCTTCGAAACTATTCGTTTCCGTAAGAAAATAAAAAATACGTGTCTAATGTTTTTAAATAATCTACCAGACGGACATTAAAATAAAAATTAGTCGTCTACCCTATTGCGGGTTACTCACGTGAATATACCGAGAAAAGCTCTACTAGTTTCGCCGTGGTTATCCCAGTGGGCTACAACATGGTATTCTTCAAGAGGGGAGTGAATAGATTTCTAAAGGGTCGGCAAGACGCATGTAATGCCCCAAGTGTTGCAGGCGTACATAGGCCACGGTAACCGCTTACCATCAGGTGGGCCGTGAGATTTTTTGCCGCCGTCGTGGTATAAAAAAAAAATAAAAATCGCGGGTTACCCACGTGAATATACTGAAAAAAGCTATACTAGTTTCGAACCATAGAGGGGTTCTTCCGAATGAGAAGCGTGCGCGGTTGCGCGATGTCAGTAAGCTGCGCGCTAATTTAGTATGAATGACACGATAGGAATGTGTTGCGCATTTTTAACCAACTTCATTAACAAAAGGTAAAGATACAGATAATTTATTTGCATAAACATACAAAAGCATGCAAGATATTCATTGTTTAAAATCAGTGTCCAATATATGTTTTGCCCTTAGAGACTGGTAGTATTGGAATATGTATCAGAGACATTGTAGAACATACTTTTTTAAAACAGTAACGAATAGAGTTTCTTGCTCGTTCTTCTCCATTCGAACCTACATTTTGGAAAGAGCACCTAGCTTCACTGACAGACTGACTGACCGACTATTATTTATTTTGTATTTGTTGACGTTTCAAAAGCACGAAATTATGATTTAATAAAAATAAATGCTTTGACTTTGACTTTGAGACGTACAAATTCAATTCAGAAAATAATTATAATTCATATTTAAATTAACGAACGTCTGTTCGTTAATTCGTCTTTTGGGAATTGGGAATTTGAGGATTGTGGGGGATTCGGGGATTAGGGAGACTGGGGAGGGGGTGTAATTGGGCCTCCGGTAACCTCACTCACACTACGAAAAACAACGCAAGCGTTGCTTCACGTCGGTTTTCTGTGAGGCCGTGGTATCACTCCGGTCGAGGCGGCCCGTTCATGAAAACTATCTTCTAATGTCAGTTTGTATAATGTATAATTTATTTTTCAGTTATTCTACTACATATGCGCGTACAGTTTGAACCAGTTGCTCCTGCGCAAGGACCTGTGTTGCTGGGCCAAGGGGCTACAGATTAGGTACAATATCTCGCATCTAGAGACTTGGATCAAGGAACATCTCGCTGAGTATGGACAGAAGAGTGTAAGTACACTTGTATTTATTGTAAGTAGTTTAATGTCTTTATATTTTAAAATATAAACAACTAGCGGACCCGACAGACGTTGTCCTGCATATCCACTTGAATTTATAAACAAAAATTCATTCAAATTAGTTCAGTTGTTTAGGATAACTAACCTACACACCGACTGCGGCGCTATCTGCCGGGCTGATTTGTGAATCTCATCCAGGGCGCCACTCAAACGCGTACAGAAAAATTCATTTAAATCGGTCAGGAGTTCAATGATATACACACGTACAGCAGAATTATATATATAAAGATATAGTTATTATTACTGTTATTAATGAGCTTTTAATTATGATATTAATTTAGCATTGTTAGTCAAGTGGTCGTAATCGCTACTGCCGAGCATGAAGGTTCGACAAAATATTATTGGAGCATTTTCGATTTTTGGAAAATTGCTCGGTAATATCACGGACTTGATTGATAATTTGTTTGGTGCAACAGTCAGAACGTCCTGTTTGATTCCCAAGTCGAATAAAATATTTTATATTTCTCTATACTAAAATATTTTTGCAGTATGTTTCAACCTGAAATTCTACAAAAATAACGTGTATATTTTAAAGTACAGGAAGTCATGGGAATTATGAGTTAAACAATCTTAATCTGTTGATATTCATCCCCTTAACTTTTTCATACAAAGGTATTCTCTAAACATTGGAAATAAGGTCTATAATGTAGTTAGTGGAGAGCGATCACCGGTGACCACTTGGGGATGTATGGGTTAATCTTAGACATACAAACAATATGCAACCTTAACATCTACAAAATAACGTACAATTTCGAAGCGCAGGAAATATTAGGCATTAAAAATCAAATATTTAATTCTTATTGTCAGATATCATAAACGATAAACGAATTTGAACCTTCGTCCCTACAAAATAGCGTACATTTTTGCAGGTGGAAGAGATACTAGGCGTGTTGAAGCCAATAACTCAAGCAGTTCAATTACTTCAAGCGCGTAAATCCATGCAGGATGTACAGAGCACTGTCGATATGTGTGCTAATCTCACCGCCATGCAAGTCTGCAAGGTAAGTTGATCTTTATGGTCATTTAAATAAGGTTCGGTTTATAGTGCTATAACCTATGGAGTTTCTTACTCGTTCTTCTCCATAAGAATCTACGCTTTGGAACGAGCAAATAGGTTCACTAGAGGACTGATCGACAGACTGACATTTTTTCTTATTATTTAATATTTAAATATTTTGTTTTGACGTTCAAAAGTGCCTTCCTGGTCTAATTGAAATAAATGATTTTGACTTTGACTTTGACTATAAATTGCCTACCGAAATGCTGTGAAAAGTTTTTCAAGTAAGGTGAATTGAGCTTTATAGTTAAATATTTAGGGTGTGGGAGACATACAACTTGAATCATAGACGAGCATGACCGCCGCGCGCCGCGCGCGTTCCAAGACTGAGCGCGGCCGACTAACCGCACATATTTTATATGCGGCTGCATGACGTTGTAGCTGTACCTTGATGACGACGGACGTGCGCCTGCGCCTGCGACCCTCAGAACACTGAGCGGCCGGTCGCCGCGTTAGTTTTTATATAAACGCAAGAACGTTTCTGATTGGCCGAGCGTATTCTTCGACATTTATTTTACCAATAAGATATATGTAGCCTTAAGTAAATTTTGTATAAATATGACCGCCTAAATAAATTCGAAATCATTCTCATTCTGGTAATTCATATAATTGGTGTTTTACTAAGTACCCGAAAGAACCCATATTGGTGACCCCGACCTCTGCGATGGAAGAATTTGGTGACGCTATGGCCGCATCCGAAAAATATGAGCAGGAAATATCTGCAATTGCTCTGCAAGCGAAGATACCACATTTCTGGCGTGCACAACCAAGGCTTTGGTTCGCTCAATTTGAAGCAGTTATAGCACCTCACAAGACCAGCGACGAACAAAAATACAACTTGGTGATTCCAGTACTAGAAAGAAAAGACATAGAACAAATCAGCGATATCATCTGTAAACCACCAGAGATAGGAAAATACAACGCTTTGAAGAAACGTTTGCTGTCGGTATATGAGGAATCCGAATCTCGACAGTTCCAGAAGCTCCTGAGTGGATTGGAGCTAGGTGATCAGAAACCAACACAACTGCTGCGGGTGATGCGAGAACTGGCCGGAGAGAAAGTACCCGATAATGCACTGAAAATATTATGGATGGGACATCTACCGTCACAAGTTCGAGCCGTCTTATCTGTTAACACAGAAGCAAGTCTCGATACACAAGCAATGATGGCAGATAAGATGATGGAGCACACGGATCAGACAATATCAGAAGTCAGTCAGGTCTCAAGCATACCACCTACAAGTCCCAGTAGTTGTCAAGATCTACAATTCCAAGTCTTAACCAAACAGATTGAAAAGCTTACCCTAGAAATCGCATCGTTAAGGAAGGAAAATGCAAGTCATCGTCGATCGTCTCATTCATTCCGAAAGAACAACTACGGTTCAAGATCACGATCCCATTCAAGATCCAGGACAGGCAAAAAACCAGGCGATCCAGACTGGGAGTGCTATTATCATCATCGATTTGGAAACAGGGCAAAGAAGTGTGAACCGCCATGCGCTAGGAAACCGTCGGAAAACTAACGACAACATCGACTGTGGCGGACGTCGGTGTAGCGAATAGAAACAACCGCCTATGTATAACAGATTTACAATCAAGAGAACGTTTTCTAGTCGACACTGGCGCGGACATATCGGTGCTAGCCGTAAGAGACAAGCGAACACCGATAGAAACGTCTTTTAAATTATTCGCTGCAAATAATACCCCCATTAAAACATACGGAGAAAAAACATTACAACTCAACCTTGGCTTGCGACGTAATTACAAGTGGACATTTATTATGGCAGATGTCAAGATGTCAATCCTCGGAGCTGACTTTCTACGACACCATAGACTGCTAGTAGACCTTCATCGCAAGAAACTGGTTGACAGCTTAACCGAACTTTCAGTAAATACGACGGCGATACGCACAAATCAAGATACAACGCTTTATGTAGTTGAACCTACCCACCGTTATCATGCGCTATTGCAAGAATTTACCGACGTGTTGAAGCCTATGACATCTACAAAAGAAATTAAACACAATGTGAAGCACTACATTGAGACCACTGGACCCCCACTATTCGCAAGACCTCGCCCATTAGCACCAAACAAGTACAAAGCAGCTAAAACCGAATTTGAAGCAATGATGTCAATGGGTATATGTCAACCATCAAAAAGTCCATGGGCCAGTCCGATGCATGTCGTGACGAAGAAAGATGGTAATCTACGCATATGTGGTGATTATCGACGCTTAAATGCAGTAACGCTCCCCGATAGGTACCCAATTCCGAGGGTACAAGATTTTACATATCACATGGAGGGTATGACGATATTTTCGAAGATCGATTTGAAAAAGGCATTTTTCTGGATACCAGTTGCTGAAAATGACATAGAAAAAACAGCAGTCACAACACCATTCGGTCTATTCGAGTTTCGTCGCATGCCATTCGGATTACGTAACGCACCACAGACTTTTCAACGGTTCATGCACGAAGTCCTGAGAGGCCTAGACTACTGTTGTTACTGTTTCATCGACGATCTGCTTGTCTACTCAGAAAATCCAGAACATCATGAAGAACATCTACGAATTATCTTGAAACGATTGTCTGACTATGGCATTGGAATTAATATAGATAAATGCCAATTTGGACAGCAGAAGCTAAATTTCCTGGGATATGAAGTCACACAAGAAGGTATTACACCGACCACAGAACGCGTCCAAACTATTTTAAACTACCCGAAGCCAGTAACTGTCCAAGATTTGCGACGTTTCCTGGGAATGGTTAACTTTTACCACGATTGTTTACCTAAGCAAGCTGAAATACAAATTGAATTGAACAAGTTACTACATAATAAGAAAAAAAACGACAAGACACTTATAACCTGGAATGAAGCAACAGAGGACGCTTTCAATAAATGCCGTTTAAGCATATCGGAAGCTGCACGACTAACCCATCCAGTCCAAGGTGCCCCATTAGCCATTATGACAGACGCATCAAACATAAGTGTCGGCGCAGTCCTACAACAAAACACGAACAACACCTGGAAGCCGTTATCTTTCTTCTCAAAAAAACTCAGTGATACTCAAGCAAGATACAGCGTATACGACCGAGAGTTACTAGCAATCTATATGGCTGTAAAACATTTTAGAAGATTAATTGAAGGAAACGATGTTGTAGTATACACAGATCACAAACCTCTGTCCTATGCTATGACTAAGGCGGAAAGTACATGTGATACACCTAAACGAGGAAGACAACTACATTTCATAAGCCAATTTTGCAGCAGGATTGAATATATTCACGGAACCAACAACGTAGTCGCAGATGCATTATCAAGAATCACTGCCATCGACTGTCCTGCTATTATCGATTTTGAAAACCTGGCAAAGGAACAAACTCGAGACGAAGACTTGAAGCACCTACTGAAACAAGATAATCTTCATTTTGTAAAGATTACATTACCTACATCGAAACAAGAAATCTACTGCGAGAATAAGACAAAAACACTACGTCCATACTTACCAAAATCATTTCGTGAGACTGCATTCAAAGCACTACACGAAATGAGTCATCCCGGTATTCGCACGACTAGGAAAATGATCACCGACAAATACTTCTGGCCGGGAATGAACAAGGACATTTCAACATGGACGCGATGCTGTATTTCATGTCAACGGGCTAAGATACATAGACACACGAAAACACCGTTAATACAGTTTCCGGAATCAAGAAGATTCGAACACGTTCATGTGGACATCGTTGGACCACTAACTCCATCAGAAGGATATCGATACCTTGTCACAATCATCGATCGATGCTCAAGATGGCCAGAAGCAGTACCAGTCAGTGATATTAGCGCAGAGACCGTCGCCCGAGTAATATACGACAACTGGATAACTCGTTTTGGTTGCCCACTACGCATAACAACGGACCAAGGACGACAGTTCGAGTCAACATTATTTCTTAAGCTCATGAATAAACTTGGTATATCAAGAATACGGACCACTGCTTACCACCCGCAATCAAACGGACTCGTAGAACGATTTCACCGTACCCTCAAGACAGCATTAATCGCCAGAGTAAATAAACAACAATGGGTTCAAGAATTATCAACTGTTTTACTCGGCATACGCACGGTGATTCATAAAGAAACAAACTACAGTCCCGCTACGATGGTATATGGTACCTCATTAAGATTACCTGCCGATATTTTCACACCTACAAAGATAAACAATGAAGACCCGTTATTATTGCAACATCTATCGGAATCAATGGCATCGCTTAATGACACGTGCGCGCGCGCACCGATAAGACACCTGCGCTCGACTCACGTGCCGAGACAGCTGTTTACTTGCACTCATGTATTTATGAGGGTGGATTGCACGAGAAAATCATTAACACCACCGTACGAGGGCCCGTATGAAGTTATAGAACGACACGACAAATTCTTCAAGATACGTTTGCCAAATCGTGAAGCTGTGGTGTCATTGGATCGACTAAAACCTGCCCACATTCTACCACCGGCCACAGAAGACGTGGAAGTAACCCCTTATGTGACCCGTTCCGGTAGAACTGTTAAACCTACAAGAAATGTACGGTTTTCTTGAAGGGGGATACTGTGGGAGACATACAACTTGAATCATAGACGAGCATGACCGCCGCGCGCCGCGCGCGTTCCAAGACTGAGCGCGGCCGACTAACCGCACATATTTTATATACGGCTGCATGACGTTGTAGCTGTACTTTGATGACGACGGACGTGCGCCTGCGCCTGCGACCCTCAGAACACTGAGCGGCCGGTCGCCGCGTTAGTTTTTATATAAACGCAAGAACGTTTCTGATTGGCCGAGCGTATTCTTCGACATTTATTTTACCAATAAGATATATGTAGCCTTAAGTAAATTTTGTATAAATATGACCGCCTAAATAAATTCGAAATCATTCTCATTCTGGTAATTCATATAATTGGTGTTTTACTAAGTACCCGAAAGAACCCATAAGGGTATAGATTACTGTAGTCTGAATTTGAAAGTTGAAGGCCAGAGGGTTTCTAACTGCAAGATAAAAGAATTTGAGCTTTGTTGTCATATAGTCTTGGGTTCGATTCCCGTTCGGGTTGAGTATTACTGGGTTTTTAAAAATTCTCAGTAGTAGCACAGAGTCCGAAATTGTGCACGGTATATGGCAATAGGCTCACCCCCTATTATATGGGACTCGTAACATAAATAGTGAAAAGTGGGTGTTACATTGTACAATGGCATTAAGTGCCGTAATGTGCACCTCTGCCTACACCTTCGGGTATGAAAGGCGTGATGACTCTATATTTTAGAAGTTAGAGTGTATTTTTCAATGGTACGAATTTCGAATGTAGATTTTCTGTGTCTCTCTTCCTATGTCAGTCTACAAGGATATTGATCTTGAAATATTATCGAGGTCTGCACGGTTGGCGCAGTGGCTGGGCAACCGGCTGCCGCGCAACGTGCCGCTGTTTCGATTCCAGCGCGGTACAAACCTTTGTGTGATCCACAGGTTGTTGTTCCGTGTCTGTGTGTGTTGTGTATAATCTTGTATGTTTGTAAACGTACACACGACACAGGAGGCAATCCTAGTGTGGGGTAACGTATTAAAAAAAATGTTTCGTAGCTTCGGTAAATTAGTCCAACAGTTTTGTTCCCTCGGTAACTAAAAATTGAAACATTATGTGTATTAATTCTAATTAATTAATTCCTCATCCAGATACTGAACATGTACACTCCAGCCGAAGAGTACGAAGTGAAAGTAACGCGGGAATTCATTCACGAAATACAGAAGAAAATGCAGGAGAAGACGGGAGCTAACCCTGATAAAGATCCTGTAAGTCAACCTTATTGACATAAATTTCAAAGTCCACTATTCAATGACAATTGTTGATTTGCAGATGTTTTATTTTGTTGGCCGACTGATAAAACCTTCATTTTATCACATTTATTTTCTTTGATAAAAACTTCGCCTTAACCCTCAGGCCTTAAAGTCTATTTTTCATTGACAAAACCCTCATACTTACCACTTAGTTTCTAAAGTCTACTTGTCAGTGACAAACATTGATTTAAAGATGTTCTATACTGCCCTTGTAGATATTTAATCACTATTTGAATGAATTCTTAAAATTCATTTCATTGAATAATAATCTTAAAACAATATACAAATAAAGTAGATTTTCGTGTGAACTAATACCATTTCTTTTTTTTACAGCAAAATCTTCTAATGGACACGAAAATGATATTCTCGGTTCAGTTTCCGTTTAACCCCTCATCTATACGTCTGGAGGCGATAGAGTTACCAGAAGTCCTAGAATTGGAAGGTCTACTCACAAAAATATAAAAAGACCAAGAAGACCGGAAAAGACCGTTAACCTAAGTAAGCTTATAGCTGCTCTAGATTTTATTTATAAACGTTTAGAATATGGTCTACTGGTTATAATATAGGAAATTGAGTAGACCATAGAAGACCATGATAGTATATAACAATTATTGTTTTTATATTAATTTGTGCATAGCTGAGAACGTAATATAGTTAAAAGACCTAAAAAGACGATAGAAATAAGAAGGTAAATGTTCAAATGATAGATTAGTTTTGTTATAACATTCCATAGTATCGGTCTTTTTACCAAAAGGCCGAGTAGACCGAAAAGACCATAGAAGAAAATTATGAAATAGTTATAAGAAACACGATAATAAGATGCATAATATTTTTTTTATTTAAAAAGTTTTCGTTAAAGTTATTTTTGTAAGTTAAACTCAATTATTTTAATCCTTAACACCTTGCCTTTAGATTCAGTTTATCTCAACATTCTTGTTCCTACGTACTTTTTGCCATACGAAAAATAATCGTTCAATATGGTGCCATTATTATATTTTTTAATTGGTAATAAATATTATTATATTATATTATTTATTTATTTATAATTTATACTCGTATGAGTAACGCCGTATTTATTTTAAAGACTTCAATATAATATGTAACATTCCATTCGAAACTAAAATATTTTATCAAGGTTTCATATTTTTAAATATTATTTAAAATAGCAAACAAATGAAGGAAAGAGACAAAGTAAGGATAGACTTTCTCGCTCATATTTTTATTATAGTATGTGTAATATGAAAAAGTTTTGGCTCTCTAAATCAATAATACTAAATTGGCTGACATTTCAACCACTTGAGTATCTAATAGCCGTATTAACGAACCACCCCTAACCATCTCCTAAGTTAAACGTGTCGTACCACCTAAACCAGTCCCTAACTTGTACTGTTAGGTGTCACAAGTGTGGGAGAGCCATGCTTCGGCACTGTTGGGCCGGGTCGACCGGAGTGTTACCACGGCCGAGCAGAAAACCGACGTGAAACAACGCTTGCGTTGTGTTTCGTCGTGAGAGTGAGATTAACGGAGGCCCAATTACACCCTTCCCCTTCCCAATGTCCCCAGTCCCCGAATCCGTAACAGTCCTCAAATTCCTGGTCCCCAAAAGTTGGTAACGCTCTTGTGACGCCTTTGATGTTCCGGATGTCCTTGGGCGATGCCGATTGCTTACCACTAGGTGATAGGCTTAACCCATAAAAAACTTATGGGTTAGTAAAGACCAAAATATCGTTAAAGCCAGTTGAAGACTAAGAGCTAAGCTAGTTTTAGCTTAGTTCACATAGCCGACGCAGTCTTCCATGCTTATCGCATAGTTTGCGGTCTTAATGCGTGCGAATTAAGCTAAATTAACTTAGCTCTTGGTCTGCAACCGGCTCTAATGCCATCTATCTTAGTTTAGGGATTCCTTACAATTTAGGAGAGGTTAATGAAAACTGCTATCAATGTAATTCAATTTCAAAATCTTGTGTTCAGAATCTTCCATAGAATTTATGTCTTCCTTTGCGAATAGCATAGTTATGTTAGCTCTTACCTGCCGGCTTCGCCTGCACGGTCAAAAGAAATTCACTCACCAGACTAACTATCTTCAGATACAAAAATCATACCATAAAATAACTTCATTAATTATTAGTTTTTTCGGCTTACTCACGTAACTGTTTGACGAAGAACTCGATTAGTTTCAAGCCATTCTAGAGGCTTATATTCATAAGCAGCATTGCGCCACGAATTGGGTAGTTGCCTTAATCAAAATTAATTATTTCGACTGTTTAATACAATAAAATATTATAAATAATTACACTTTCATTATTTAATTTTATGACCATCTTCCAGCAATTCTTTAAGAAATAAGTATGTTGTTTGACGCTAAAAAAACGCGACGTCACAATACACAATCTCGTACAAAATTCATAGAAAACTCTCGTTTTTGACAGTTCGAAAAAAGTATTGAATTTGACTAGTTGGCAAGTACACAATTAGTCGAGTTTCCTCGTCAAATAATTACGGAGTAAGCCGAAAACATAATAATTCATTTAGTATGTCCTACGAAAGTTACAACATACATAATAATATAAAACTACTTCTTTGCGATATACTTCCATATCTTACTAATATTAAAATTGCGTATACTTGTGTGTATGTTCGTTACTCAATCACATCAAAATAGCTGAAGGGATCAGTATAAAATTTGAAACAGGGATAGATTATTTATTTATTTATTAAGAGTTAACAACATTTGATTATCCAACTATAGTAAACATAAAACATACAATCAAAGAGGAATGAACCCAAGTGTAACAAACAATTACAGAGTTCCAAGCACGAATAACTAAGTGTGGGAGAGCCATGCTTAACACTAATGGGCCGACCCGACAGGAGTAATACCACGGCCTCACAAAAACTGACGTGAAGCAACGCTTACGTTGTGTTTCGTCGTGTGAGTGAGGTTACCGCAGGCCCAATTACCCTCCCCTTCCCTAATCTCCTCAATTCTTGAATCCCCAACGATCCTCAAACTCCTAATCCCCAAAAGGCCGATAAAGCACTTGTAACGCCTCTGGTGTTCCAGGTGTCCATGGGCGACGCCGATTGCTTACCGTCAGGTGATCCGTCTGCTCGTTTACCGGCTTATGCCATAAAAAAAAACTATCGCAATCGTAACGTTGTAGAATCGACCGCGTTCGGCGCTCTAATTGGCCGTGTTCAGTGAACCAACCAACGCATTCGATACTTAAACTGTCAAACACCAAGCGGTCACGGGTGACCGCAACCTATTGTTCTATAATTGTGTCTACAAAACCAGTACTCGACGAGTTAATAGTATCGTGCATACAACGCACTCGTTACGAATGCTATAGCTATTCGTGCTTGGCACTCAGGTAACTACAACATTCACTGATGCAAATTATGTGTATATAAAACAAATTTCTAAATTATATCAACTTTCTGTGTAGACTGGATAATATACATTCAAATAGATAAGGTTATTACCGTTTGGATGAACACATAGGCTACTTTTTGTAACACAGGAACGCGGGCGAAGTCGCTAGTAGATGCTAGTTTATATATATACATACACAATTATATTTTTTGGAGTATAGAACAAAGTGTTAAAATGAAAGCGTATCTCAGAAACGGCTGGTCAGATTTTCATGTACTACTGTTCATTAATTTGCTAATAACACAAAACATCGAACTTTTTAGTCATTACTATGAATTAAACATTGAATAAGAATATACCTCTAGATAATTTTAAATATCTTTGCTTTGATTGAAAAGTACTTACATTTAGTTTTTAACCGACTTCAAAAAAAGGACGAGGTTCTCAATTCGACCTTATATTTTTTTACTAAAAATATGTTTATTCGGTTAAATTTATAATATCAATTACTTTCCTATTTAAAAAAAAAACTATGTATTACGTGAATCAACGAAGTTCATTTTATATTATTAAGAATTTTTACACAATTCAATACTTATTCACATCAAAATCACTACTTTCAGAAATTGGTTAAAATCTATAAAAAAAAAAAACGTTCAAGTTAAAAATAACCTTCCAAAATATTATATATAAATGACCATTTTTGAAGCTTGTGTCATTTTGACAAAATTTTATTATAATGCTTGCTAAAATTGTATGCCTACTGCCGAAATATATTAAAAAACATCCTTGAAATATATGTGTTCGATATAGAAATATGTTAGATATATATATATGTCAAAAAATGGTAAAATTTAAATTATATTTGTGTAAAAAAGCGCTGTAATTTTAATAAGGATGCTGCAGCTGTTTTTGTCATTAATGACATTCCGTTATATTTAATTAAATTTAATATTAATAATTATTACTATTATATTAATGTTATTGTAGCTAATAATAAAAGGTTTATTCTTATTATCGTACTTATAGAAAAATTTATTAGTGTTATTAATTTTTTTTTTGAAAAAGTTGCAAAAAATATTTAATACTTTGAAAATCTACGTATAACAAATGGGTAGATAATTCTGTACCGTATTAAAAATCCTGAATATTCAAATGCAAAGCTTATATTGACTGCACGGCTGGTGCGGCGGCTGGGCAACCTGCTGCCGTGTAACGTGTTGGGGGTTCGAAACCCGCACGGAACAAGACTTTGTGTGATTTACAAATTGTTGTTTCGGGTCTGGGTGTGATGTGCATGTGAACTTTTATGTTTGTAAACGCACCCACGACACAGGAGAAAATCCAAGTGTGGGGAACCTTTTAAAAAAAATCAAAATATTTTAGTTCAATTCTTCGGTTGGGTAAAATAGTATTAGATTTTTGGTAATAATTGGAAGTAATAATTCAAACAACTGCGTCTAGAATTGATTTTACATAATTGGCAATATTATAATATTTTACAGCCATAATAACGTTAATATTTTTAATATACTACCTATAATTCATTCATAAGTTACTCGAATCAGCAGCTGTAGCCAAATGCCATTTAGCGCTTGTCTACATGTAGAATAGAAAAGTAAATTATATGGGATTGACGTCAATTTTGACACTTGTCAGTGTCATTCCCATACGTTTAGTTTTCTACTCTCTCTGTAGACAAGCGGTAAAGTGGCGTTTGGCTAAAGGCTCAGGGCTGATTATTCCAACGCCAAATAAATTTCTAAGAGGAAAAGTTTTGAATATTTGACCATTCTTCTGACACTAATAATAACTGTCAATGTCAATTTTATTCTAAAGTTAAGGATTATCTGTTGATTGAAAAATCATCTCTAAGAACAAATCAATCAATCAATTTTTTTCAAGCAAAAGCGATAATTATATTTTATGCAACTTTTTCAAAAAAAAACAAAACAAATAAATATATATGTATGGTGGACTCAATAAATAAATAAATAAATAAATAAATAAATAAATAAATAAATTAGTGGAAAGGAGTGGAATAATAAAAAATAGTATCATAATTATTATTATATATCTTATTATAACTGTAGTTATTAAATTTAAATATTAAATACATGTTACCATTCATGCTAGGTGCTTTAAAAGTATATATATATTGTATACATGTATCACTTTATATATAGGATATTAAGTTAAATGAAAAATGCAGAAAAGCCTATAATAATTCATATTTGCTAGCAAGTCCACTGGACTACGAGTGTCGAGACTCTATCGGGTTGTTGAGATACAACAGAAGACTGCACAATATATAGGTTTATTTCACAAATTACAATCAAGACCGATGGCGCTTTATTAATGCTGACACAAACACATAGAAAGCTTTGGCGTTGGTGAACCGAATATTTAGAAGAAGCGCGGCGCTCGTACGGCCGTGGGTTTTATACCTCCGTACCGCGCTGCTGCCCGGTCTCTGTCAAATGCGCAGTCCCTTCCACTTGTAATAGCTAAATAAGGTACGGTCAAAGGTCAAAAGTCCACTGCCACCGTAAGACTACTATCGGTTGCGCTGCAGCGCTTATACACACACGCGCACGTATATGTTTATCCGTGTGCGTACGCGTGCGTGTG